AATTAGCAACACTTGAACAAAGTCATCACTGCTGCTGATATCAATCTCTCCCTCATAGCATCTTCGTGCTTTGTGCTCCAACTCTCGAAGAGCTTTCACGCAGATGCTCAAGGTTGCTTCTAAATTCGGTTTTCGATTGAGGAGTGCGTAACAATAGCGCCACTTATCATCTTGCGGCACTCTAGTCTGTTTTGCACGGTGCAAAGGACCAATGGAAACATGATCAGGAGTATATTTCTTTTCGTTATGCTCGCGAAGTTCCTTGGGGACTCTGAAGATACAGACTGATACAGCAATGTTTTCCATCTTTTCCTTGATAGAAGATACAAGTTCATCATGCTCAGGAGTGATTTCAATCGAGACATGGTCTCCTAATTGTGGCTGTCTCCCTGATATATTGTTGTTTTCCATCTTTCAAAGAGAAGTTGTGGTTTGCTCTATGCAGAAAAGAAAAGCCCTCAATTTGAGTATTGGGAATTCTCAACAGAAAATGCAATGCCATTCTTCTCTAGATGAATACAGGCATGATACAGAACTAGAGTCTCATATGTGCACTATTCATATTAACTTTTCTCTTTCTCCGGGGAGAAAAAGGTTTTTAACAAATTCCTTTACTTTGGTTTCACAATGTTGGTATAAAACCTTGAAATAGCACAACAATAATTAGGCAAAAATGGGTAAGGAGGGTCTGGTATTGTTTATCAGATAAGCAGCAAACATAAGATATCTTAATTTAAATGTAATGGACGTAGTGTCAATTTAGCATTGCTTATTTATAGTGATAAGTGATTTTTTTAAAAAATTTGGAAAACTCAGCTCGTTTGATAAACTATAAGAAAATTACTTATTGTTAAAAATTGTTGTGAGAGAAAGCTATAATGGAAAGCAGCTAATGAGGTGCTTTCATTTTCTGATTATGCAGGAATCAGTTTTGAAGAGGCGATGAGTTTAATGATTATGCAACAATCATTTTCTGATTATGCGGAAATCAGTACCAACAACACTTTTAACAAAAAGTTTACCAAACATCAAACTGGTTTCTCTCACCGCAAATCTGACAGCGATTATTTTCAAAGTACAGCAATGTCAAACTGGCCTGCAATAAATGTGGTAAAGTCTTGGATTTGTTCTTCGAAATATTTCGTTATATACCCATTCTTAGCACTAGTGATATAGATAAACACTACACTATTTAATTTCTATAAATAAACCCAAAAAATTACATCTAACCCTATTGAATTTAATTTTGGTAATTAAATTACTTTGATGCCTTATTGAGTATTTTGGGTTTATGAGGTTTTTGGTTTGGGGTTGTTTTAAGAAATTGATGGTAGTTTTGTAATTTTTAGGAAGTTTGAAGCCTCTTTGTTATGTTGTAAATGGTCTTTTGGTGTGGTGTGTTTCTAAAATCCATTTTATGTAGTTTTTTTTAATTAAAAAATTTAGACGCTATATTAAATATAATATTTAATGGGAGCTGATTTTCCCACTTCATTTTTCTCCACTTACACTCCTTTTTGCTTTTTAATACTTTTAAAATCAATTTTGTTCTTTTTTGTTCTTTCTCTTTCCTATTCTACCCTTACCCTACATTTTCTTCTGCTCCCATATCCCAATATGCCTCAATTAGCCATGGAAACCACACCTTAAACAACTCCTAATTTTCACTCACTCTGACCCAATTGCAAAAAAAATTTCCCTTTGCTTCTTTGTTCATTTCAATAGCAGCTTGCCACATTTTTTCCATGGCCACCTATGCTTCCAACATGATTTGCTATCCACACCCATAAAACCCAGTAATCAATGGATCGAGAAAAATCCATCACCTCAATTTCTTTTACTTCACTCTTATATTATTTCTTTTTACTGAACATTATCTTTAATATGGATGAGATTGCTGAAAAATCAAAATTTTTAATGTCGAGGTAATGGTATTGATATTAACCAAAAATTGATATTTGTTCTATTATAAGTGAAGAAGATATGATGACTGGTTATTGGGGGAAAAAAATTGGTGTAAAAAATCAAGCAATTAAGCATAAAGTACTCATGCCAATATCCATATTTTTTTTTTTTTTTTTTTTTTTTTCGAAATTACCCTTCTGAGATGCTTTTGATGATAATAAATCAACATCTCAACATAATGTACCTGTTCATATAGATTTACAACCTAAGCATGGAAAATCACAACATTTTTTTATACAGTAAATTGAGTGAGACCAACTTGAAAAGCTAAAGTCAGGAAAACCCATTTTCTTGATATACAAAATGAGTGTTTCTCTGACCTGCAGGCAGAACAAACAGATGCCACAGCAGAAACTATTATATTTGGCTCTTACCACTTGGATGGAATAATTCCAATATAATGTACCTTGTTCATATAGATATACATTCATGGCAAACATTTCTAAGACAGAATATACAGAGAAAATAATAGCAGAATGGTTCAGGAATCAGTGTACCTTGCTGTAATCAACAGGAAAATGTAGCTGAGCTGCTTAGATGGGGCTATTTTGCCCAGTCATTAGCATTTCCATTGTTTTCACAACAAAACTTGATGAGCATTTCATGGTTGCAGGAAACCAAGGAGCTATTTATATGTAAGCCCAAAACTTTCACAACTAATAAAAGAAGACTCAGCTTGTGGAGGACCAAAATCTGGGTGGAAATTTTTGGTCTGACGGTACAGGAATCAATGTTAACTTGAGCAGTTTGTCATACAGACCCAAAACAGAATGCAATGAATTACAAGGAACTGCAGTCTGCAGAGCAGTATTCCTTTTGAAAAAAGAAATGTGAACACCAAAGCATAGCTTTGTCCACAGATAAAGCTAAATATAATTGCTTAAAAGTAAATTTAGGTATTAGTTATAGTAAATTCACTGTGGCTTTAAATATGAACATCAGCAAGGTCTCTCTCTACTTCGTTAGCTTTTTGTTTTGGCTTAATGTCATGAGCCTATTAAGGAGAAACACCGGTATAAATCGGAGATAACAATGTTTTGCTATTTCCAACCAATTACGGCATGCTATGTTTTAACATGATGATCTGTTAAAATATGATTAATTAATAAATAATTCTTGTAATATGATGAATTTCCGTTCACTTTACTTATAAAATTTTTAGTGGTATTTTTATGTGTGAGAAGATATCCAAAACTATAGGAATGAAAATAAATGTAGTATGCATAGAATTCAATTCCAGTATATAGATTCGTACCCTTAAAAAAAACAGTATGTAGATTTTAGATATCACGTGCCATGCCATGGGATGTCACGTGATTGATCGGATATACACGAGAAGTTGTCTAAAACTAAACTAACCACCCCTCGTTTCTCTCCCTCACTTCAGTTCAGTCTCAGTCTTCACTTGTAAATTTACATCATTATCTGAGGAGATCAAGTCTCCAAGACGCCATCTTGGCCGTCCATATTAAATTTCTCGACGAAGAAAGTGGAATACCCAATAAAAAAGTAAAGTCCGATCCAAAGCCAAGTCCGAGAATCTGTTTCCATTGCTTTTGTTTTTGTTCTGTTTTCATTTTTGTTTTCTTTGAAAACAGAAGAAAGAAACAGAAAACGCAACTTTACCCATCTGTCTTCTCTTGAGCACTGTCTCTGATTCTCATTTGCAAGAACACTATAGGGGTTCAGCAGAAAAAAGGTTTTTGATTTGTGTTCTGCTTCGAAACGATGGCGTTTTGGTGGCCTCTGCTCGTCCTCGGATTCGCTTACGCCATTTGCAAATTCCTCTTTATGCTCATTCCCCCTAATGTGCCTTCCATCGAAGTCGATGCTTCTGATTCTCTCTCTCTCTCTCTCTCGCCATTTATATGTTTCTTTTGTATTGGTGATTGATTGGCGCGGTTTAATCAATGGCAGTGTTGGATGATGGGAACCAGACGCAGGAGAATGGTTTCATATATGTGAGTTTTTCTCAAAACTTTTGTCTTTTGACTGTAATTTTTATTCAAATATGTATCTTTTTGTAAGCATTTCTCTTCAATTCTTGATTGTAGTTAAATTCTTTGCATTTGTCGATGTTACTTACTTTCTTATCAGTTAAACTTAGCTAATTATAGTTGTGGGTGTACTTAAATTGCTTATAATTAGATTCAAATTTGCTTTTCACTTTGTACTGTTTCTTGCTAGTTTATGGGTGCTTAAGGTTATTACATTGTTTGAGTTGTATGAATGTGATCATGTGCAGCATCCAGTTGGCTGCCTCTCATTGGTGTTTAATGTGCAGGTACCTCCGAGGGGAAGGACGCCGCAAGCTGATACAAAGGTTCAGTGCTATGAACCTGCAACCATGAAATACTTGGGATATTTCCCTGCACTGACACCAGATGAGGTTAGTCATGTTATGCATGTTTGGATTTGGGGATTGGTGAATTGAATGTGTAGGAAACTGTTATATTGTACTTCTCTTTGCTGTTTGGCAATAAAATGATGAACTTGATTTTGTGCCTACATAGCGCCTGGTTTGGCATTTTGGCACAGAGCTCAAATGATATATCACAACTATTGGGAAATTCGCTTTGTAAACGTGTATTCTCAGGTCAAGGAGCGGGTAGCACAAGCAAGGAAGGCACAGAAAATATGGGCAAAGAGTAGCTTCAAGCAAAGACGCCAGTTTCTCCGGATTCTTCTAAAGTATATAATTGAACACCAAGAGCTTATATGTGAGTAAGTACTCTATTCCTCTCTCTCTCTCTCTCTCTCTCTCTCTCTCTCTCTCTCTCTCTCTCTCTCTCTATGCATGAGCTCTATGCATGAGCCTGTGCATGCTAATTTGAAATCTATTTTTCATCCTTACTGTGATCTGAAGTATTATGTAGGGTTTATCTTTTGTTAAAAACATTAGTAATCTATTTACATGGATTCCACCTTTATCGTCTTTTTCTATATTATTTTGTGTACTTACATATACCATTTTCGTTAGAATATCTTCACGTGATACGGGGAAGACGATGGTAGATGCCTCTCTAGGGGAAATAATGACAACATGTGAGAAGATCACTTGGCTCCTTTCAGAGGGTGAGCGTTGGCTAAAGCCTGAATACAGGTATTTGCTTGTTCCTTATTGCATTTTCTATATCTTATTTAATCACTATTAATTCAACTGACATAACAAGGTGTTGTGTCGTATATCTTGTTGTCTTGATACATCTCAGTGGCAATCTACATTTTAATATTTGCATTGCTTGAGCTCTTCTACTGTACTATTTTCTGGATATGCACCCTATCATTAAATAAGTTTTACCGTTTCCTATCCAATTTTTGGTTTTCTTTCCCGATAAAGAGTGTTTACCTTTCCTTGCTTTTCTCAATACTGTATTGTGATTATATTGTTCATGAACAAAATTTCAGATGTTCTGGAAGGTCAATGCTTCACAAGAAATCCAAAGTGGAATTCCACCCGCTTGGCGTTATTGGTGCCATTGTGTCATGGAATTATCCTTTTCATAATATCTTTAATCCAATGCTGGCAGCAGTTTTTTCTGGAAATAGTATTGTGATTAAGGTAGTTATTGTTGGAATGTCACTGTTGTTTACTTTAATCACTATCTGTACTTTGTGTCTTTCGTCAGAATTAGACACCATTGCACCTGTTTTATATCCGTTGTAACTCATTCCTTTCAGTTTTGGTAGCTGTTGTTGGTTGTGTGGTTTGAGGCTATGTATCATTAAAAAACTGGCTGCTTAAAAAACTGGCTTCTAAGGATTTGTTGTAAAGCTTGTTTTGTTAATTTACCGTAAACTTGTAATTGTAGGTTTCAGAACATGCAAGTTGGTCTGGTTGTTTCTACTTCCGAATAATCCAATCAGCCCTTGCTGCTGTAGGAGCACCTGAAAATCTAGTTGACGTCATAACTGGGTATTTAATTTTTAATTTTTTATTCTTTTTGGGTGGGATTTCTCTCTAGTCTTGTTTATTTTTCTCCCTAAAATCAAACCTTTTTCCTCACTAGATTTGCTGAAACTGGAGAAGCGCTGGTGTCTTCTGTTGACAAGATAATATTTGTCGGATCACCTGGTGTGGGTAAGATGGTATGGTCTTCTTTTGGCTGATTGGTTAGATTTCTTGTTTTTGTTTAATTCCTGAAACATGCTTCTTACTTCCAAACTTCTAATCCTTCTTTCGCTCTAATAGCTCTCAAATTATTAGTTAATTTGTTTCTTTTGCTCCAAATATTCTGAAAGTTAAACCCTAAACTTAAGCCCTAAAACCTGACTGTGCAGCCCTAGATTAATAGCCCTGGCCTAATAGGGAAAAAAAACTTAAGAAAACAAAAAAAAATATATAGGCCATTTGATCTAAGCTCTCACTTTCCTCGTAAAATTTTGATAAGTTATGAAGAGTATAAAATTCTGGTTAAATCATACATTAGAAATGATTTTAACTGAATTTTTCTGTTTTTCATCTATTACACAAGTTTTATTTCAGTAGTAAATTTGGATACATCATGTCATTTTTGAAATTATTATGTCTGCAGATAATGAGAAATGCTGCTGAGATGCTTATACCAGTTACACTAGAACTTGGTGGAAAAGATGCATTTATTGTTTGTGAAGATGCAGATGTGGAACATGTATGAATTTTTCCCACCTTTACTAGTGTTTTATGATGTCTACCATGCTTGGACATTCAATTGGGGAATGACATTTTGAATTAGATTGTTTTTGTATTCTTTAACACTATGTGACCTAATAGGAGACTAAACTACTCAATTTAGGTTGCCCAAATTGCTGTGAGAGCTGTTCTTCAGTCAAGTGGACAGAACTGTGCTGGGGCTGAGAGATTTTATGTTCATGAGGACATTTATTCTTCATTTGTCAGCCAAGTTTCCAAGATTGTAAAATCTGTTACTGCTGTAAGTATGCCCCTTCATCATGTTTTTTATTATAAGGAAGATGAATCTAACTACTTAATGTTTAAAATTCATGATTCTTTCATTTATCTTATTTTCTAGGGTCCACCACTTGCTGGAAAGTATGATATGGGAGCTATATGTTTGCAAGAGCACTCTGAAAGGCTTCAAAACCTTGTAAATGATGCCTTAGACAAAGGAGCAAAATTTGTTGTTCGGGGAAGTGTTGGCCATATAGGTGAAGGTGCAGTTGATCAGTTTTTCCCACCTACTGTAATAGAAAATGTAAATCACACGATGAAGTTGATGCAAGAGGAGGTAGCGAAAGTCGTATAGTTTGTTCAACATAGCATTTTCACATGTACCTTTAATCTTCAATTAGTTACATGGAGAAATTCTTTCTACATTTTTGCAGGCATTTGGACCAATCATGCCAATAATGAAATTTAGCACTGATGAAGAGGCTGTCAAGCTTGCTAATGACTCAAAATATGGACTTGGCTGTGCTGTTTTTTCTGGCAGCCAGCGTCGTGCAAAAGAGATAGCTTCCCAGATACATTGTGGAGTTGCTGCAATCAATGATTTCGCATCAACATACATGTGTCAGGTAATAATTTTTTCAAGTGGTCGGCAGCTGATAATGTGTCTTGTTTCTCCTTTTTTTTTTCCTCTTTCTCTGGGTCCTTTAAAGTCTTATTGGGCCTGTGGGGTATAGAACTGGAGGTAGCCCTCTCCAATCTCATAAAACCCCTCAAACATTGGGGAAGGTGGGAGTCTATCTCAGGGCTCATGCAAGAGACTTTACTGATATTTTTTGGATAGACAAGAGACTTTACTGACTTAACTAGATGATACATTGTTTCTTCTTTTAATAATGAACTATGAATAATTTCCTGCTTTAGAGATAGCAGAAAGACTGGATGTGAACTTATTCTAAAAAATTAATGTGATCATTGATTTGTTTTTCTTTTTATGAAGAGAAAGAAAATGCTTTCATTGATTAGATTAGACAGTTTTTCTTTTCTGAGGTCTGAATTAGACAATTCAGCGATACAATATGAAGCTGATATCATATATCTCAAAGAAATGCTTTCCATTCATGAATATTCTTCAGAACACAAAAGAATTTTACTGCCATATTAATCAGAGATCGCTTTAGTTCAAGCGTATCCTCGTTGAAACATCACTCGTTATTATTTCTTTTAATGAAAGATTTTATATCATGGTGACATTGTTAATCCAATGAACTAAAGATGTCTCATGAATTTCCAGTCCCTGCCATTTGGCGGTGTAAAAGACAGTGGATTTGGAAGATTTGCCGGTGTAGAAGGATTGCGAGCTTGTTGTCTTGTAAAGTCAGTTGTTGAGGATAGATGGTGGCCATACATTAAAACCAAGATACCAAAGCCTATTCAGGTCAGATTTCAAAACTAAACTGTAATGTCATTTCATCTCTCGCTGTGTCTCTGAAATTCTACAAATCTGGCTGATTTTCTTGCTTGACCAACTGTAGTATCCTATTGGGGAGAATGGTTTTGAGTTCCAGGAGTCACTTGTTGAAGCACTCTATGGCATGAACATTTGGGACCGTTTGCGAGCATTGGTTAATGTTCTAAAGATTCTTACAGAGCAAAACTCTCCTGCTAACAGTAAGAGAAGAGATGACTGAGTGGAGCACATGAGGATTGGAACATTTCATCAGTTAACCGAGTTTTAATATATTGTGGATTTTGACTTCCCATAGATCTCAGAATCATGGCTATTGTTGAGCATCAACCTAATGGCGTCTGTTTTTCCTTCTGGTTCTTTTTTAGTTACAGAATGCTTCTGTGTCAAATGTCTTGTCAAATCCTTTCAAGGAAATTCTGATTTTGAATATAGAACAGAGTTTTGTTTGAAGCAATGATCGCGGCTGGTATTTTGAGTCTCTCTAAGACTTGTAGAAATATTGATTTTGTAGATTCTTTTGAACAACTATCGGGTCTCCGGGTTCCCGGTTGGTATTTTTCTGTTTGGGATTAGACGTTTTAGTTTGGGGTTTGGGTCTTGTGGAGAGTTTTGTGTTGGCCAAAACCCAAACCTCAAACTGGTAAACCTCGAAGTCAAGCCGTGAAACTCGAAAACGCAAACCCCAAATGTCAAATCCCAAAACCTCTAATGCTCAACTCGAAACTCCAAATTCCAAACCCAAAATCTAGAGATGTTTGCTCTCTTGAATAATTAACAACATTCCAAGCAACCAAAATAAGAATATACGAGTACAATGATAATAGCATTGATATGTTGATTAGCCAGGGCTGTTTTTGGAACATTGGCCTAGAAATGAACCCTAGAATTCTCTTGGATCGACAAACACATTACCTAGTTGTCCCTTCAGCAGCAGTTCATCTTTTTCATCAGCGTGGCTAATCAAGCTTTTCACATACCAGACATCATTGATACATGACATATTGGAATCCTTGGGGACATGCTTTATGAGAGGATCACACAACCCCAGCTCAGTTAAAATCAACTTGCTGTCCTTCACATTTTGTCCCAACCGTGATGCGAAGTTCCACACAGATTTCATGAGCTCCCCGAGCTTCTCTCCCTCTCCGTGAATCCCATAGAGAAACAGAAACCCGAAGGAGCTCTGCATGGAGACACGGACAGGCAATTTTAGGCAGGACAATATTTTCTCCCTTGCATGGCTTAGGGAAGCATGAAAAGACCTTAGTGGATGAGACTTTCTTATATGAAGCTTGTAAGCTTCACATGTATTCCATATGCTAAAGATTACCCAAGAGCTTTGAGTTTTACTGGTGATGTCCTTACCATTTTCCTCTGTGTTTAAGTTGATCCAACCCTGTTCTTCGAAATAGCAGACCCAAGTGCCGAGGCTCAGCTTCTCCTTCAAGATCACATCGATGTCTGTCGGATACATGTCTTTGCCTTTTAGCTTATTTTTGTACAATAAAATTGCCTGGTCTATGTGCAGCTTCTCTATTTTTATCTCTTGGGGAAGCAGATCATCAATAGGGGAACAAATTGGCTGAACAAATATGACTAGTGAGCTGAGGTTCACATAATTGCATTTGAAAGTGAAGAGATTTGTAGAGGCGATGTTGCTCTTTTCGGTTGCCAGGAATGTGTACTGTGCTCCCTTCCTCAGCAGCCACTCCTCCACTGAGTTCATGAGTTTCAATCCAATTCCCATCCGCCTAAACCAGACAAACATATAAAAGTTAATCCATCATAAAAGAAATTCTGTATATTTATACTTGAGATCTGCTAGAACTTATTAATCTTATGCTTATTTAGATCATTTAGCTTTTCCAATATGCTGCAACTCAGTTCAGAAAGAGTCAGAGGTTTTACACTCAATTTCAGCAGATTGTATTGGCAATTCAGAAATGAAAACTTGTTGCTTAGAGAAGAAGATTTCTTCCAAACTCCATTCTATCTGATAAACAAAGTGGAGAAATACCTGTGTGTAGGAGAGACGCGAAGGCCTAGTACACAACCTATCTCATAGCTTGCCCCAAAACCAGTGCCTACATGCTTCATGCATCCTCGAACCACTCCAACAAGCTCCCCGTTTTCGAGCAGCTCTGCTACCTGTAGGCCATTTTAATGCAATGATCATTTTACATTAATAAAGTCCAGAGGGGGACAGGGGTTCCATATAGAAAAGCAGTACAAAATAATATAGAAATCATGCAAATGTTATTGCTTATTGGAGGAGACATAAAAATGATTATGAGATATGAAAAAGTGACCCTAACCCCACCAACATAACATGAAGGGGGTAGAACCTAATCCTACAACAAGGGTCACCCATCATGTTAGTGAAAATGGTGACCCCCCTTTTAGACCCTAGGTCACAGTTCCTCTCTAGCTTCCCCACCACTTCACTATCTGTGTCTGCATTGAATTCCCTTATAAGAACCTTGTTCTCTGCACTGTCAACCATGTCTTTTTTTTTCTTTCTTGCTAAAAGAAGCAAAGTTATAAGATTTGAAGTGGAGAACAATCTTCAATTTGGTTTGCTGCCACAAGTGCCTCTTATTGCATTCTTATATGCTAGGCTAGGTTAACTACCTATGTTATAATTTGTTTTTTCTTTTCTTTTCTTTCTCTTTTTTCTTTTTTTGTGGCTGGTTACTTCTGTCAGCAGTCTCAGTACCATAAATCACATTGGACCAGAACTTGATGCATTCATAATTCATAAATAAATAAAATACCTGCTATCTACATGAGCTGCACCAGAAAAATGGAACAATGATATTGCAAAGCGATTCGGGGAATATTTGTAATCATTTCTGTATTCTGTGTTTTTTGCTGTACATTTTGTGTGCCCATTTATTAGTTTCAGATCAGGTGCTAGCTGTTGTTTGAAACTAGTCTTCCCATTCATTATGTGGGTTCAGTGTCCTTTAACCTTTGCTTCAACAATTACAGCATGCATTATGTATGCGTATATATATCTAACATGGGACAGTTCCTGGTAACTGGTGGTTCCAGTTTGAAAGTAAAAGAAGAAATTAACTGTCTGACAGGACCTCTAGGACTAAAAACAGCAAGTGCAAGAATTATTACTTGAGCTTTCAACATGATAATGAGTAGGGGGTCAGATTTCCTTTAACTGTGCACCACAATCACAAGCCAAAGTGTGAATCGGTGCCAGAAGGGTTCCAGAAATATGTGTTTGAAGTTGTGAATGAGCTTGTTTTCAGTACAAGTGTACATGACCAAGCCTCACTTAGTTTCACATGGTCACACTCTTGGTTTTGGTGGCTTCCCATTATTGATTACACCGCAACATTCTCATGTTTTAGTGCAACCCCACCTCAACTCTCACCACCACCTAGCTTACAAGGTTTTTGTTTTTTTGTTCAAAGGGTTTAGCAACATTTTCGTATTGTTCAGTTTTACACTGTTAAATTGTTAACTCCAACTATATGTCAAATTCATGTAAGATTTGACTACTCAGTTGCAATAATTTTATCTTCAATTCTTGTTATTTCATGTTCACTTACTAATTTGACATATCAGTTAAAGATGCTTTAACACATCTCTAAACTTATGCCAATTTGAAACACCACATAGGATTTGACAACTATGTTGAAATAATTTTATCTTTAATTCTTGTCATTTCATGTTCACATATCAATTAAAGATGCTTTAACACATCTCTAATCTTACGCCAATTTGAAACACCATTTTCTATACGTTTGAGAGATTCATGAGCACAAAGCTTATAACTTTGTTTTATTCACATGTTCAAATTATTTGTGATGCATAAACATAAGTAAATGGATTAATGTAAAAATAAATTAAAGTAAAAAGACAAGACATTTACTTAAAGGATTATTTACTCAAATGGTGCTCACACTTAAACCGAAGTTGCATTTTGGTCCCTCAATGTGTATTCAATGTAGATTTTAAAAATCTCTAGGGGCAAACAAAAATTTTCATGGCTTAAAATTATTCTATAATCAAACGAAATCCACCACTTTCTGTATTTCCTTTGAAATCAATGAGTTTTTTTAATACAACCAAACTTTTATGAAGTTTTTTAAAGTCGTGATTGAATACATCCAAATTTGAATGAAGTTTAAAAAATTTCAATTGAATACACCCAGAATTATATAGACTTCTATAAAATCGTGATTGAATACACCTGAACTTTTAAACTTCTTCAAATTATGATAGATAAATTATTTTTATTCTCAAGATCTGATTTCACCACTTCTATTACCACCATCTTATCATAGCTATCACCACCGCCGCCACCACCCATAGTCATCGTCGTCGCAGCCACCACCCCCCAGCACCACCATTGCCACCTCCACTACCACCCCACTGCCGCCCTCACTACCACCCCAACCACCACCCCTACTTTCACCACCACCACCCTTACCCCCACCTCCACCACTACTACCTCCCCTACTATCAGCTCCACCATCACCCACTATCACCACCACCACAGCCATTGACAGCATCATCACCATCACCGCCATTGTCGCCACAACCACTCCCACCGCCACCACCTCCACCACCTCACTCCTACCACTACCACCCCTACCTTCTCACCACTACCTCCCCCACCATCACCCACAAATCACCATCGCCACTGCCATCGCCATCACCACCTCCTAACCCTTTAGGTTTTAGTGCTATAAACCCATTAAAATCAATAATTAAACTATAACAAACTCAGTTAAAATCTATACACGAATTCAGTAAACTCAATTAAATTCAATTAAACTCCATCAACTTTATAACTCTTTAAAATCATTTAAAATCTAAATTGAATACAACTTCCTAAATTATTCATTTAAATAGTCCACCAACTTTTTATTAATCAGCGCACTGGTCCTACCATTACACTCAATCAATATTGCCATTAATTTGAGGGTTAAAATCGCAATTTATACTAAAATATTAATTAATTAATTAAAACATAGATATAGGGAGGACTTAGAGGGGGTGGGCAGTGGGTGTAGGCTGGGGCTAGTGGTGGGGGTGACTCTGCCTTCTTCTATTCTCCCATCAATTTCTTCATTCTCTTAATTAAGAACATATAAAATAACAAGTGATAAGTAAAGCAAAAAATATCCCCTTCATCTCATCTCATATATATCCTACATAACAACAAAAGAGAAACTACTTTTTCTTTTTCCATTTTTGCAACTCCAACGAGAGGAATCCAATACCATAAATTGATTAAGGCACCCATGTGCCTTCTCCCTCAATCCTCTGCTCCAATTTCTTACGATTTAGCGGTGCAACAAGCTTGCTCCACCATTGTAACCTATCATCGAGCTCAACACGTGTTGCCATTTTGGCTATCGAAGTCGGAGAAGTCATGTCTGAACAAAGCCGCCGTTGATGTCATCTCTCTCGCACCGACTGGTTGTCTTCCGGCGCCGCTGTCATTTGGTTGTACAGGAAGGGAATAAGAAGAATAAAAAAAATGGAAACGAAAACTCCACTATGAAAAGTTGCATTTACCCTTCCTATTTCCTCACATGTAGTTCACATGACTAAAAACTCATGGAAAATGTAATGATGGACCAATTCACCGAATAATAAAGAGTTGGTGGACCATTTGAACGAATAATTTAGTTGATGAACCAAAAATGCAACTTGGGTATAAGTTTGAGGACTATTGTAGTAAATAACCCTTTACTTAAATGTTTTAGTGGAAAATAAGGCTATAAGGGGAAACAAAAAACAAGGCAATGAGCAGGCCCCCTTTACTCTTAACCGCTCCCTCCACGCTTTTTTTTTTCTTCCCCTTCCTTTTAGCGGTTCAGTTTGTCTATCATGGGTGGGCCCTTTTTCTTTCTGGCAGTTCACCAATACGGTTAAAACTAAACCCACTTCCCACCAATCTTTTTTTTTTTTAGACGAGCCCCTGCGGAGGGCGAATTGGTTCCCCCCCCTTTTTCTTTTAGTTTTGTTTCTTTTGGGCTCAAAAGGCCACGGGAAAAAAAAAAACAGCTCTTTCCCCCCCTCCATTTTCCCCCCCCTCCCTTTGGACTAATCTAATTAGAGTTGGGCCGTTTTTTTTCATTGTACCACCCCCCCCTTTCTCACTGTACCCTCTTTTTTCCCCGATGATAAATTTAGGCCCCCATCTATACGCTTTCCCCTCCCCCCGTCCCCTTCGAGTTTACACCACTTTGGCCCCTCCTTGCCGGCCCGACCCCTTGGGCCAATTATGATTGACCCCTTAGTCTGCCAAAGCGGGCCTACCAAACAATATTTTCAATTATACCTTTCAGCACATTTTTTAGTTTTTCATTTTTTTTTGTGATTTTGTGCCAGTTGGGATATGTTGGGTGGTCGTAAATGTCATGCACTATCACTTCTCCCGGTTTCTCCCTTTTTTTATTCAATTTTTAAAAAAAAAAAAAAAAAAAAAAAAAAAAAAAAAAAAAAAAAAAAAAAAAAAAAAAAAAAAAAAAAAAAAAAAAAAAAAAAAAAAAAAAAAAAAAAAAAAAAAAAAAAAAAAAAAAAAAAAAAAAAAAAAAAAAAAAAAAAAAAAAAAAAAAAAAAAAAAAAAAAAAAAAAAAAAAAAAAAAAAAAAAAAAAAAAAAAAAAAAAAAAAAAAAAAAAAAAAAAAAAAAAAAAAAAAAAAAAAAAAAAAAAAAAAAAAAAAAAAAAAAAAAAAAAAAAAAAAAAAAAAAAAAAAAAAAAAAAAAAAAAAAAAAAAAAAAAAAAAAAAAAAAAAAAAAAAAAAAAAAAAAAAAAAAAAAAAAAAAAAAAAAAAAAAAAAAAAAAAAAAAAAAGATAGAAAGGGGGAGAAAAAAAAGGAGGGAGAGGGAAGTGAAAGAGAAACAACGGGAAAGAAGGGTAGAAGAGGGAGGGGGTGGGGAAAGAAGGAAGAAAAAGATAAAAAGGGGCGGGGGGGAGGGCTAAAATATTTTGTAATGTGTAAAGATGACAAAAGGGTAAACCCGAATGCTAGAAGGAGTGCGGCTGGGAAAGGAGAAGAAAGAGAAACGAGAAAAAGAGGAGAAGGAAAAGAAAACAAGGGGGATCTACGAGAGAAAATCGAAAAGGTGAGAGGAAAATTTCTATTTATTTAGCGGTTATGTCTAGGCTGTTGATTTTTCGTTCTTCGTATTCTTTCTCTCATTTTTTCTTGTCGTTTCGACTTTGTGTTTTCCGGCCTAGTTGATGATTTATCCCCTTATGGTGCCATAATTAAAATTGCTGTGCCCTTACCTAGGGAATATGCGCCCTCACCCCTCTTGTACTTTACTTTCTAACCCGCTTTGTTGGCATACTATAGACAACCTCTGTAATTGACGCAATCTTGCATCGAATCGCAAATTACTATTAAAGGAATATTGACGAAGATATAAACACGGTTACCTCATAGGTGGAGAGCGTTTTGGCTTTGTAAGAAGGGTTTAAAAAAAACTACACTGTATATTGCAATTCTTGGTATTTTTGGAGTTAAGAATTTTTAATATCTATTTTCTGATTTATATGGAGACAGAATTTAAGGTTTCCAATCTATAAGAGTTTCTACAAATCACATATCTATTTTTCTTAAGGAATGAATTTGTTTTACATTGAAAGAGGGGAGAATATTTGTCTTAATCATTGGGTAAAACCAGTCCTAAACCCCATTGTGGTTATGCTATTTAATGGTTTCCCCCCATCTCCCACCCCTCTCATTTTTCTTACTCCTTTGTACAATTTTTAATTATATAAATATATCAAAGTGTGAAGCACTTTGTGGGGCTTGATCCCTTAGTAATAGATACATAGTAGTCACTGGTGTCTCACCTAGGTGCAGTTGCGAACCATGAAAAGTTACCTTATGGAAAAGCTAGTTTCACTTCAGTCGGTTTTGAATGCTTTGGGGGTATTCGACGCTTATGGGTTGGTTCTAAAGCTCGAGTTGAAAAGCGAGCTTGATAGATGACATTTACTTTTCATTTTTCCGTTGGACTACCGTAAGTGTTGGGTTAAACTTGTGGTTGTGGCCAAGCCAGATATTGGAAACAAACTTTTGGATTGTTGTCTAACTTGGGCCAGTTGCTTACTACGTATGCTTGGGTGTTGGGTAAGTAAACATCTTCTTGTGGGAAATGTGAAAAGTTATCTTATTTTAAGTTCTGTACAGGCGTAATTCATTTTATTCGTGCATACTTGCCTTGTAACATCTCATTATTTGACTTAAGGTTTTGCTGATATGTTCTGTTTTGGATTATTGATTGCCAAGGCCTTATTTTGTTGATTGCTAAGACGAAAACTTGTTCCTTCTGCTAGTTGTGGCTATTACCCACTGTGTTTTCTTGTTCATTCAACACACAGATTTTTCGATTTTTTTTGGAAAACGAGCCATGTTACCAGGGGAGACATCTTGCCGATTATTTTCGGTAGGCAGTCCAAAAAACTTGAAGTTAAATTTTTTGTTTTTGGTGGTTCGATGATTTAATTTTGTCATTTGGGTCTTACGGGATCCGCCAGGTGGTTCCACATATCCCATGGTTTCGGGTTCAAATTCCAAAGCAAAAATTGGGTCGACAGTCCGTGTCATCATCCTCTTTACTCTCTGCAACAATTTTGTTTATTCCTTCTAACTCTTGCGGGCTGTTAACAAGGGCCTGACAAAAGATAGGTTTTAGGCTATCAACATAATACCAAGATTAATTTTTTTGGACTAATCATCACTCGTGGCTTACCTCCCTTCCTTAGACATTTGTGGGCAGGAGCCTGGTTGTACGAGTCAATGATTCCTCGAATATTTTTGAGGATATCGTCTTGGTCCCATTGTGTTCTTCATGTCTTTCCTTTGAAAGGTCCCTTGACCTTGGACATTCATCCTTTATATTTCAACACCTTTTGACTGTTTTTGAATCACATCTTCTCTTGACTCTTAGGGCCATTTTGGCATTACTGGGGGTGGCTGTGAAAATTACTCCGCGTGTGTCTATTTGCTTGTGTAGAAAGGCATTTTGGGGCGTTTTTGTTTAACTTTTTAGTTTCGTGGATGTTTGTCCCCCCTACATCCTTTTGAGTAGTTTGGTGTACATATTTGTTGTGAAAAGTGTTGTGATAGCTTGGTTAATGAACTAAAAAGGGCTTATGTTTGAACACTGACCTTTTCTTTTCAGAGTTTTTTAAAACTGGAAAGAAGGAAAAGGCACTTTCACACCTTACTTAATAATATTTTTTTTTTTACAAATTATAAATAAACCCAATCCTAGACATGTATATATAAAAAACCCAAGCACATTTAAAAATAGAAACACCCCAAATCAACCCCAAAATCAACAATGTATATTTTTTGGGTGTGTTTATAATGGTTTTGAGTGTGTGTAATGATGGGTTTTGGGTGGTTTATAAAGTGTTTTGGGTGTGGGTTTTTTTATAATTTCAACCCCATTTTGGGTGTTTTTAGTGAAACTCCCATTTTTTTTTTTTGATTAAATATGTGGCCATCACACCTTAAAAATTATTTTAATTATAACTAAAATTAAAGTAATTTCCCTTAACATAACGATGTTGGTCAATCATATGGTCCTAAAACAAAAAATACAGTCATAACAAGCATCCTATACATTTTCTAAACCAGAATAACTCTTAAACTTTGCGGTATCTGATTTCTCAATGCCTCCATTTCTCTTGTGTTACAGGACCATTCTTCTTGTTGTGCCTCAACCTCTCCTCTCAATCTTCTCATCTTTGAGTAACATTTAGGTCATCTTCACTTATCCCAAAAAATGACAACACGTTTGGCATGTCTTTTTAGGTAAGTTTATGAGTGCCATGGTTGCAATGAACTTTATTTTTGGGGACCCCCTTGAGTTTTGGCAAAAATGATAACTAGTCCTGTCTCGTAAAGGAAAATTTACCGCTCCTCCATCTTCTTTTTTTTTATTCCATACTCCAAAGTGTGTCAAATAACACTTCCCTAAGGGGAAGAGGGTGCATGACTAATAACCTCTTATGACCCAGTCCCGGTTGACCACCCTACGAAAAATCGAGAAGATGATATTTTCACCTGTTATATGGTCCTAAGGGTTAGCCATCATCAGTGTTTGTTGGTACCTCCCCCCGATCATTTTTACACTATGAGAGGTCTTTTGTTTGTTCCTTTACCCTGAAAAAAAGTGTGTCCCTATTCATCGAGAAATTGCCCACTTATATGGACAGAGATCAAGTTCAATATGTGAGTATGAAGTAACACAGGCATTATTTCGCCCCTGAAACACGTCACCCTTCCAAAATACATGTAATCTAATTATAGCTAACTACCACTCTACATGTAGCTAATTAATGAACGAATCTGCTAGTGGCATGTTAACTTCGAATTTGCCTGTTGACATCCCCCCCTTCCTGGATTGCTGGTAAATCGGACAAGCATCCCATTTGCTAAACGAGGAAATGATGGCGCTGACAGTGGCAGGGATAGTTGGGAAGATATCGGCGATCTGCAGAGGTAGTAGAGACATTTTTGGAACGGGGTGCATAACTTGAGAGATCAATAGCTTCCCCTCCCTGAATTAGAAGTGACAGCTCAACTTCGAGGGTGGACCTTGGTGCAATTCGTGATAGACAGGGGGGGGTTGGCTTGCAAATTTTGGATGGCACTATTGTGTCAGCCATGGCGGTGGGTAGGATGAATAGGACCGAAACCAGATTCTAGTAAGGTGACTGAGACCAAAACCAAAGCCAAATGAATCTCAGCGGAGCATGCAGACCGACATGGCTCCTGTCTCTGCACTCAGTGGATGATGATGGATTTGGACTTGGTTGCTTGCTGCTCTCTCTTTATATCGTTTTTTTTCTGTTTCTTTTCATTTCATGCTTTAACACTGTTGTCCAAAGCGATAAAGGGCATCACCAAGACAACCAGGACCCCCCGCACGTATTAGATTTCCCTGGAATGCTGTGGGCACAAAACCGGCCAATCACAGCGTCACTGTAAGGCTGGAGCTGAGGCAAACCTGTCGTCGCCATCAAACCCCGCGACTGGTGTGCCAAGAATGTAGGAATGTAGCGCGCGAACGACAGCTAGTTGGAGAGCGTTGGGGGCATGCATGAACTTGCTGACAGTTGTGAACAGCATACGAGATGCTGGTCGGTGAGGTTAGATAGATACGGAACTACCAACACAGCTTCCGATAGGTAGTAGGATCCTCAAGAATCTCCCCGTCGTTCACGTCGATATTTCACATTAAGTCCTGGGGGTGGCACACTGAAATCAAGGTTTGGTGGCCCGGCTAACTAACCACGATCGTTGACTATACTAGTGGTGTTGTGAACAAGAAGAGGACTAATGAGGCCGGTGAATGCGCACTCTAACCTAAACCAGAATAAGTTGAGCTGAACCAAGATCTTTCATGTGGAAATGGAAATGTAACACAAGTTTTGAGACCAGCAACCCCAGCTGAGTATTGCCTCCAAGTCAGAGCCGACGCCGGTGCTGACAATATCATCCAATAAACAAGGAGGACAACGATACCCATAAAGATGTATTGTAGAAACAAAGAGGAGTCCTACTGACTACTTTGGTGAGACAACCAAGCAAAGTGGAGTCGAAACTTTGGCTCCAACCAATACTCCTCGGTGCCTGCTTCAAAACCATCCACAAACTTTTTAGTTTAGCAAACACCTCCTTATTAGGTGCGTGAAGTAGGCATACGATAATTAAGTTATCAAGTCAACTTCTTCCTTGGATATCACCGTTGAGGACTGTCTTATTGCAAATTCCATTTGATGTAAAGGTCCAGGGAGTTGGGATGCAGCAAGAAGCAAGTATAGTTCGAGACGAGTGGTCATTTTCGGCACACAGACTGTTGCGAAGGTCTCAATCAGTAGTCAACCAGACCATAATTCCTACCGAGCTGGTTGTTGCCCAGTTCACTAACCGAGCCTTATAACCCTGTCCTAGGACCCATCAGAACGAAGCTTGGCGAAAACAAAAACACGAACGTTCGGTCCAAGCGGGATTTTCCACGGATGTAGGGACACTGTGAACACGTCCCCAGTTTGGTTTTCCCCCCCAAAGGAAGGGCGAGAAGTCGGCATTCAAACAGCTTCATTTTTACTTTCTGCCAACCTCTCATGCTCTTGCATGACTGTTTTATAAGAACCGAAGATGAACATAAACGACACAGTAACCAAAGGGACAACGAAGGTATGAATAAATTTGGAGGGTACCAAATCAAAACTGGTGAAGGGAAGTTGTGTTTAGGTTGGCAATGTGGGAGAAGGGCCACCTGTTGAGGAAGATGGAAGCAGTGGATAGAGCTTCACACCAAAAACGAGAGGGCGTAGATGACTCTAACAAGAGAGTGCGAACAAACACAAGGAGGTGAACGGTTCTTCCTTTCTCAGCCACACCTTTGTTGAGGTGTTGAAGACAAGACCGTTGAGAGATGATGCCGTTAGTCTGTAGGAAGTCCTGAAACAAATGAGACATATACTCACCCCCCATTGTCAGAATGAAGGATTTTGATTTGGGCGAAAATTGGGTCTGATATGTGCATGAAAAATCTTAAAATAGAAAAGACTTCATCTTTAGAATGTAGAAAATATATCCAAGTGAAACGACTATAGTCGTCAATAAAAGTGACAAAATATTGTAATTAGCATGAGAAGTGATTGGTGCCCATGCCCCCACACATCACTATGCATCATATCAAAAGGTTGAACTATATGTGGTGTGTGAATAGGAAAAGGCAGAGTCTTACTTTTGCCAAGTTTGCAAGAATTGCAATCAAATTGAACAGCACTAAGAGATGGTGATTCTTTATTCCCAAGAAAACCAGATTTCCATAAATCATGAAGGACATTAGAATTTGGATGTCCGAGACGTTTATGCCACGCTCGGTAATCAACATGAGCAGAATTACAGGAGACAAAGGGTGAAAAAGAAGACAAAGGAAATTGAAGAGGAAAAAGACGTCCCACTTTAGGCCCCCTCGTGATCATCCTCCCTGACTGTTGATCCTGCACAACACAACCAGATTTAGAGAATTCCACTTTGCAATCATTATCAACCAACTGACCGACTGACACAAGATTGGTGGTAAGACCAGGAGATACAAAGACATCAGTGAGAGAGGGAGAAACATCACCAGTGGCCGTGATAGGTAAATGATTGCCATCAGTAGTATGAATTTTGAGATTTCCAAAATATTTGTTTACATTGGTAAGAGAATCAGCATTGTTTGTCATATGATGGGAAGCCCCGGAATCAAAGTACCAAGGAGATGATGTAAAGAAGGGTTTAGCTGAGAGTCCTAAAGCTGAAAATGCAGAAATGATCATTTGTTGAATCATGTCAGGGGGTCACAGGTTGAACAGGAGCATGAGCACTTTGTGTCAGCGGTACTGTAGTCACAGAACTTCCAGCACTAGAAAAGCCAACGGAGACAGTATATGCGGTCTCTGATTTCTTGGGGGGTCGAGTAGGACATTCCTTGATGATATGGCCATCCTTTTTGCAGTAGTTGCAGAATTTTCGGGGACAATTTGCAGCATAATGACCAAATCCCTTGCAACAAAAACATGAACAGTGCTCATATCCCTGCCTCGTGGCTTACCTTGTGCTGCATAGGCCACAGGAACAGATGCAGATCGCCGTTGTTCCATGGTGGTTTGAGTGAGAAGGCGTTGTTCCTCGCAAGGAGATCATTGAGGCATGTATCCAAGGAGGGGACAGATTCCCGGTTCATAAGATTGGATCTGGTGCCTTCAAATTCAGGTCTCAATTTCATTAGAAATTGATCCCTTTGGGTAGTTTCATGGATAGATTGAACAGAACTAAGACCTTCGGATGGTAAGTCAGCATAAACTATATCAGTGTATTCAGCCCAAAGATTAGTGAATCTAGAGTAAAAATCAGAGATAGAAAGGCTATCCTGTTGGAAAGCGGCCAATTCATGTTCAAGCTGGAACCAACGAGCAGTGTTTTGTTGACTATAGATCTTCTTCAAGTAAGTCCACATTTGAGCTGCAGTCTGAGATGATCGAAGGTTCAAGATGATATTAGGTTCAACAGATCCTAAAATCCATGTCATAACTTGAGCGTCCTTGACTTCCCACTTGGCGTGCTGGTCTTTGACTTTGTTTTTGTCAGGAGCTGGGTTACTTCCATCAACATGTCCCCACGCCTCCTTACCTTTGATGAAAATCCCGAAGTGAAACGCCCAAGCAGAGTAGTTCTTGCCATTGAAATGAATCAAAGAAACATTTGACTTATCTGAAGACATGATGTCAAGAGAACTTGATCAAGAATAACTGAGACTAAGGAACTTGAGAGCAAGAGATAATTCAGAGCTATAACTTTGATACCATGACAATTTAGAGTCTTTCTGAAAAGTGTGTCCCTATTCATCGAGAATTGCCCATTATATGGACAGAATACAAGTTAATTAGGAAAGAACACAGGCTGATATTCAGCCCCTGAAAACAGCTCACCTACCACATATACATGTATCTAATTATAGCGAACCTACCACATACACATGTATCTAATACATGTATCTAATTATAGCTAACCTACCACATATACATGTATCTAATTAATGAAAGAATCTGTTGGCATTTAAATCTGATTTCCTTTGACAGCATCCTCCATCTCTTGTTTTTCAATTGTAATTTTTCATACGGTCTTCCTATCTCTTTACTAATATTTGTAACCAACCTTGCCCATCCAACTTTATTAAAGTGAGTACCAGGACGATTGCCTTGATCCACCTCCTTGATACAAAGGTCAATGAAGATGGCTATAGTTTGAGCATTCCACAATGCTGACAATTTTCGGGATCCACTTGCAACATTTTCAGTTGTGGTTAAGTTACTATTCTTCTTTGACATTTTATTGCAACAAAGACATTATATATAAGAACAAAAGAAAATAATAGGAATACAAGCAAATTACAAAACAAAACAAACTAGCCACAATGCAATGCATAGATGTTTATCTAATCTAAACAGTGCATAGATGGTTCAAACTAGCAAAAAGATAAAATTAAGAGAACTATGAATACAGCTTGCTAATAAAAATTAAAGAGGAAAGTTTCATACAGTGGAATATGTAGGAATTTTTGGAATCACAATCTTGAATTGCTCAGGAGATAGACCCTATCACATAATTAAAGTAAAAATTGGGTAAACCACATTGTCAAAAGAAATCTTACAATAAACTCACAAGTAAATGTATTCCAACAATAAAAGTTCCCAAAACAGTGACCACATTTTGGAAAGCATACTCTGTGAAACGGCCCACTGATATAAATTATAATCCAAAAGTCTCATACTCTCCTTCAATCATTTTGTTTTTTACGATACGAATACATAGTATTTTATAAATATCCAGTTCTTATTTACACTGCTTGTGGAAACTAGGCCCCTAAAACAAGAAACAACACCGAATAAAGTCACTACCATTTTAGGGTTTAGGGTTGAAAGTCACTATGATTTGAAATGCCTACAAAAATGTCCAAAGTTGAACTATACGCCTCAAGTAATCCCAGCCCCAAACTACCACTTACTGTTCAAAGGCTTTGTCATTCCTCTACAAAATAAACCAAAAGGTTGCCATCACAATAAATATTTGGGAAATGTTTGGGATAGAAATATTTCAATTGTTCAGGCTTGCAAAGCTGATATTCACTAGGAAAGTTTGTATGGACCCCTACATTAACTAAGGTACATGAATTAGTTTGGAAATACCAAAACTCTTATATAATTAACAGTACCAGAAATAGAAAGCCTCTTGAACTGGCAACACTTAACTTTCTTTATCTCTATCTCTAAACTAATAAAAGAATTCACTTAACCAACTTGCAACTCAACAAGATACCAAATAACAATGGCTCACTACTTATATAAAAATTCATCTGGAACCAAAAATTCCAAAATGAAAACATAACCAATGAATCAATAATAGTTTTCAAGATACAGAGATTAGGGAGAGAAACAAAACAAGACCATAACAAAATCTATCATATAACATAAATGCAAGCATTTCAGGTACAGTGCAATATAAAAAGATTTAAAACCACTGAGAGGTTCTTTAGAGCTTTATGCTTTGAAGGTTATGACCAAGATAATATAGAAAATTCCAAGTAAAAATTAGAGCTTTATGCTTTGGAGGTTTGACCCCCTCGAAATCTATTTGCCCAAATAGAGAGAAACAGCAAGAGAGAGAGAGTGAGTCAGTGAGGAAGGCTGTGATATTTTTTGCAAGTGAGACAAACAGTAACAGAGCAAGCGAGACAAATAATAACAGAGCAATAGATAAAGACAACAGGGAAATTTTTCCATGTGCGTTTTTTCTGTTGGTTTTCTATATCACGTATTGGCATGAGAATGAGATTTTTCCATTTGGGAAGATAGTTAAACCCTAGAAATTAAAGAGAAAGAGAGACGATTGAAATTGAAAAGAAATAAACATAATATGTGTCTCTTACTTGAGTCTTGTGGCTCAGCAGTACGCTTCAATTGATCCAACAAGAAAAAACTGTAGGCAGAATGGAAGAGAAGGAGAGGAGTGGGCTCTGTGAAGAGATTGTGTGAAGAAGCAACGTGATGTGAGGGAAGGAGGAAGAGAGAGCGTGAAAATAGATTAGGGTATTTTGGAAGTTTGTAAAATTCATTAAACCCAGCACTCCTCAAATCTGATTACCGTATAATCAGAAAATGAAAGCAGGTCATTAGCTGCTTTCATTTATTGCTTTCTCTCATAGCAATTTTTAACAATAAGTGATTTTCTCATAGGTTACCAAACGGATTGGGCTTCCCAAATTTTTTAAAAATCACTTATTACCTCAAATAAGCAATGTCAAACGGGTACTTAACCTTCCATTTTCTTTTGTTCGGGCCAAAATTCTGCACACCCAGCCCAACACTAAAAGCCTAGAGAAACAAACGAACTCCAGGGCCCCAAGCAGTACTGGACTTTGCGATTAGAAGAATCAAGGGCCCAAAATCCGGAAAGCCCAACCCAGGATCTATAAAAAAAAACTTAGAAAAGAAGAAAAAGAAATCAGCCCATAGCTCCAAAAAATAAAAAGGGCTTGGCATGATTAAAAGAGAAGAAGAAGCCCAAAAGGAAACAGACCCACGTGGATCTTTTTTTCTACCTGACTTAGAAAAGTCAACAATTTCAACTGGGTTGATAAGGAGTTGACAAAGGCAGGCGAAAAGAAGGGACATTTTCTAAAAAAGATAAGCAGGAAACAGGGAGTTGTTCAAATTGGAAAATCAAACTAACGATCACAGTTTGAGCTCTCACAGGGGGCAGTTGGAATTAAAGAGGGGTTAGGTTCTTTTCAAAAAAACAGGGAAGTAATTGTCTTAAGAACTAACCATTGAGGGCTTATCTGCCAAAACTGATAAAACCCCCTTTTTTTTACATTTAAAAATGAAAGATCTTTTGGGAAATTTTGCCGCCCATTATTAAGAGAAAGAAGCCCCATTCCAAAGCATTTCTTACAAATATAGGAGAGGGTGAACAGAGCAGAGGACACACAAAATCAAAAAACCAAAAATCAACCAAAGACAAACACTCAAAATGATCATTTGATCTCTGAGAACCTTCAAACAAATTGAAGCAACCAAGAGCTCACTCGAGCCACAGAAGAAGCCAGCTATAAATCAGAACCTCCAGTTTAGACTTAAGAGAAATAGGTCATTCAAAACAAGATTTCTCTCGTTACAAATTTGGTTCAGCAAGAGCCAAAACAAGCAGAGTTTGAGTTTTTACAAATATGAAAACCTCAACAAATTTATGGAGAGCCCTGCCCAAGTAGAACAGGTACCACAGTACAGTTCCGGCTCAGTAATCTTCAAGTCCAGCCACTTCTGCCCCTTTCAAACTGAAGAGGCCGCAATTCTGCCCATTCAGAAGGCCTCCCCAGGGATAAATGGAAGTCCAGCCTTCTTTTTGTCTTTCTAGAGTTGATTTTTTCCCTTTTAAGTTTTGTAAAAGGTACTTCTGCCTAAAAACAGTTTACTATCTTATCATTTATTCTGGCAAGAACTATCAGTTTTGTACTGTGAAAAATTGTGAAGTCCTCACCAATCTGAGGCAAGAAAAGAACTTACTTGGTAGATATTCCTCACCCAAATTCACAATCACTTGTTTAGAAATCAGTAACTTGGGGCGCAAGTTATCTATTCTTAAGAAGTCTGCTAAGATTTTATTGCTAGCAGTGGCACGCTCGCACATTAAAGAAAGTTGACTTGTTGACCAGTCAATGGGGAACTTTACCCTTCCATCACAAGAGCAAACACGAAATGGGTGAACACCTAATATTATGGACTTTTTCTTGTTGATAATTGGAAGGGTTCTCCAAGCGTTGAAAGATTGAGATGCAGGGTGGTTTTCTACCCCCTAGGCGTTTTGAACACAGAGATGTGAAATGGCCTTGTATTCACCTCATCTTCTCTAAACATAGCTTGTTCCATATAAGTGACCACTTCAGGCTCGGAAGTTTCTGGCTGTGGCCTTCGAAGAGAAACTTTGAGCATGCCACTCTCATTTTGAACTGTGAGGCTAGCATTCCTTTTCTTCGCTTTACGACCATTGAGTTTTACCTTTAATGGAGCAGATGTTGTTTTTGGTAATGATGCCTTTTTGTGAATGACAACTCGTTTACTCGGCCCATCGTTTTTGCCAAAAGTAGTCAAAATGACTAAACTGCCTCCTGGGAATAGATTGATTGATCTGTCGAAGAGGACAAATATAGCTTGCTATCATCAATGATTCCATTGTTTGTTTCAACGAGCTTATTTTCTTTTCACTAGGCTTCGTTTTTGATGTCTTAACAATTATCTTTGGCTTAGGAGCCTTTGAAGTTGGGACTTCTTCAACTTTTGAGGATAAGGCACCACGAGGTGTTAGCTTCACTCGAATTACTCTTGAAGGTTTGGGTGCTTCAATCTTTTGTGAATGAGAGACCAGGTGGACCATAAAACTTCGTATCAGAGTAATTTACCCCTTCGCCTCTGAACAGGTCAATGTCAGCCCAAACATTTTTAACTTCCCCATCCACCAAGTATTTGAAGCACTGGTTATGTGTGGAAGGGACTACGCCCATGTGTATGGAGCCATGGGCATCCCAGCAGGACATTGTATGAAGTGTCAGCATTGATCACATGGAATAGGGCGTCTGAATATAGGTCCCCTATTTCCATTTGCAAGGCAATAGAGCCCATGACTTTTTGCCCAAGTTGGTTGAACCCTTGAATAGTCAGCATAGAGGGAGACAACCTTCGGGCACTCATCCCTATAGCATGGAGCGTCTTTAATAGGATAAGATTCACGGCCGAACTACAATATAACAAGATTCAATTAATGGTCGTGCCTACAAGTTTGCCAGTGACATAAATAAGTCGGTTATGGAATTTGGACCCAAGTAAAAAGTCATCTTTACCAAAAGTAATTGCTGTCAGGCACGATGCATAAGCCATTACAAGTGCTTCCCTAAGCTTTCTCAACATTTGTAAAGCGTCATAGATATTTAAAGGAGCAGTATCGAGCTTAGGGTCCTTTGTTGCATGTGATTGAGATGACTCCTTTGTTTTACTAGTATCGGGCTTAGGGTCCTTTTGCTTTCTAGGAGGACGGTGGAACTTCCCCTAGGACAGTTTTTTTTCCGACGAGGAGACCTTAATCTCATTCCCCTTTTACTTCTTCTCGGTTTTAAAGGAATCAGCTTCCTCGTTTTGTTGTGCACTATCAGCAGATGGGATGCTTCGACCGAAGCAGAGATTAATCTCATCAACCTTTGTGTCAACCTCATATTCCTCCATAGAACCCATATTGCATTGCATAATTTCTTCCTAAACTTCAGATTCACTCGAGAAGAATTCAACTGGAAAAAACTCAATGAGTGTGACAGGAACCATTGAGGGTTGCTCATATTCATCTTCCTGAGGGATTTGAACTTTCTTTTGCACCATCTTCTTCTTCCTCTTATTTTTCAAGGATGGCATGCCTCGAATCTTGACACCAGGAAGAATAGTAAATCTATGATTGGGTGGGAAATGTTTGGTCATGCACTTGGCCCTTTTAACAAATGTCTTCCACCCTTCAACAGATTCGTCAACCGAAGAATCTTCCCATATATCTAGACTGGGTGCAGCCATGAGCTCATGAAAAGTGGGAATTTGAAGATCACGAGACCTTGGTGCATTCGGACAGGAATGTATAATGGGGCCCCCATTGTCGATATTAATACCTGCAAATTTCGCTCTATCTAGTGATGAGTTCAATCCCCACAGTTCTCTAAGTACCATATATAGTTGCTGGCCAGTTATCTTAGTTACATATAATCTCCTACCATGGCTATGCATGAAACAAAAGTACATGATGTTGACCTTATTGATTTCCGGTCCTAAACAACCCAGAAATGATATAGACGTCTACTTAGAGCTGTTGATTGATGATTTAAAATCTTTGTGGGATGGGATTAGAGGAGTGTATGATGCTCATATAGAAGAATACTTTACACTCAGAGCTGCATTACTGTGGCCAATTAATGATTTTCCCGCTTATGAAAACTTATCTGGTTGTGTCTTTAAATGATATAAAGCTTGTCCAATATACGACGATGATACACCTAATCACAAGTTGAAAATGGCCACAAAATTTGTTACATTGGGCATAGAAAATGGTTACCAATCAATCATCTATTTCAGAGGCAGCGTGCAACTTTTAATCGTTCTATCCTGGAGAAGCCTGCAAGGTATGCAATAACTCAATTGTGCTTCTTCTTCAATGCTATATGTGCAAAGACAATATATGTGCAATGACCAATTGTTATGGCTTCTCAAGTCAAACAAGTATTTTTTGTTGACGACCCAATGCATCATGGTTGGTCAGTAGTGTTATCAATGCCTAATCGAGAATATAATGATGTTATTGGTGATGATGTCTTAAATGATGTGATAATTGAGTGTGAGCCATTTACTAGAGGGATGCCAAATGTTGACATTTGATGAACTAGCCTGTGAGTTTGGGAGTCAAAATATTTGAGATGGGTGTGAAGATATATGGATTGAATGATGCTTGTAATTTATGACATTACTTATGCCCTAAATGGCTGTGTATGACATTAATTTTGTAAGAAATTGTATTGCATTTTTTTCACTTTCGTTATACAGAGTTTGGGCGCAAAACTTTTAGCTGGTTCAAGTACCAAAATACGACGGTCCTATTGACAGAATTGCAAAGACAAACCTCCAAATAGTATCAGACGTCGTTTTTTTATCATACGTCATGCAATGGAAGACCTTAAAACATATAAAAAACAAAAACAAAAATACAAAACACGTCGGTTTAAATAAAATGGACATTAAAAAATTCGTCTGTGACAAATGAGACGATTGCGATGTACTTATTGTCGTCTAAAGCATAACTCAAATGACTGCACATAATCACATAACAACGACGGTAAGGAAAAGACGTTATTAAGGCATATCACGACAGAGACTCCAAAGAGCCGACATTTAAAAGAAGATAACCCGACCATATAACAACACACCGACATTTACCGTCGTCTTATAATATAATCACGACAATGTACTCTCAGTAATAGCTGTCTGAAAAATTTACCACGTCCCAATTTATGTCAAAGGAAAAGGAGATTTAGTGAAAAACAACCTTATAACAATACACCAACATTTACAGAGTAACCACGTCGTTTGCTAAATCTTCCTCGTCGTTTATATTGCGACATACGACACGGTGTTTATAATAACCAACGTGGTAGGTCATTTCCACTGTCAGATTTAAAATAAATGAGTCGTAAGATCCTTGTTCTTCCCATAATTACTGCCGTCATTAAAAGTTTTCACGTCTCCTTGGTGTTTATGTGTCGTGAAATAGTCTACACAAACGTCTCTTGTCAAAAAGGGTGTGTAGTTGTATGTCGTACTAACGTCGTCTGTGTTGTACTAGTAGACGTGTATATCGATTAGTACGTCAGCCTTTAAGTTATGGATGACGGTGTAAACTATTTACAACGTCATCGCTGGACATATAGATACACCTATATACACATATATTATATACATGTATATACGTGTATATATGTATATTATAATATAATATATAAATATATATTATTATATATTATAATGTATGTGGAACGATTCTTTTATAACATTTGTATCTCGAAGAGTTCCGCATCATTTTCCATTGAAGATTCTAAACGTTGATCAGCCACGTTGTCGACGTTGTTGTCAATTGGGTCTAGTTCTGGTATAGCATACATGTTCCTATGATCCATCTTCTGAACAACTTTCCAACCGCTTCCGGCTTTAGGGTCATCTAGATACACAATCTGTGTTGCCATGTTTGCCAAAATGTGAGGGTCGTCATCATACCAAGTTCTGTTAATGTTCACAGATAGTAAGCCATGGTCAATTTTAACACTTCCCTGCCTATTTGGGTTGGTATCAAACCATCAACACTTAAAGATGATCACTTGGTATCGGTCTTTGTAAAGCAATTGCACGACAGTTGTGAGTTTGCCATAGAAATCAATGTCCGTACTTTCACCTCCACTTGGGACATGGACACTGCTGTTTTGCATACACAGCTTGTCATCTCGTGCAGTCCCCAAAAACTTGATGTCGTTAACATGGCAACACGAGAACAATTCAGCGCGAATCGGGCCGAATGCCAAGTTATATAACTCATCACTGTAAGTGGGGGAATTCGATGATTTCAACTTATTCACCTAATATTATACAAAACCATTCACATGTTATTTTGAAAAAATTAAATACTACAATATATATTTGTCAAATACAAAACACTTATAACTTACAGAATCCAAAAACCATTGTGGAAACAATTCACGGTGTTTCTTGGCATACAAATGTGATGGATGTTCTCGCTTCATCATCTCTTCATGCTCATCTAAGTATGCTATTATCTCATCACAATTGTTCAATACGAACCAATGAGCTACCTCCATGTCATTTCTGGAAAATGACTCTCCTCGTCCAGGATCTCCAAAAGGTCGTGCGCTTTGGGCAAAAACAGAAAGTTTGTCATTTCTCAGACCTCCATCATTATTGCGTTAAGGAAGCCGTCTCCACATATTTTAAATGCATTTCACATAAAGTAAGCGACTCATATTGAACCCAAGCCTCTATAATTGATCCTTCGGGCTTTGCCCTGTTGCGTACACTTTTTTTAGCTCTTCGAGAAACCTGCCAAAATAAAACTATATGATTCAAATTATCAAGCGTGTGATAATGATGCATACACAAATGATAAGGATTATATAACTTTCTATTGGATACATCTATCGATAGTTGACAGGACCAGCAAGCAATGCCTCTTATGGCAAGTGAACCATCACGTGGATTATACTTGTGAAGAAAGCTGGAGGGAATATCATCTCCATGACAATTGATTAATGTCTGCCTTTCGCAACGTTTTTGTCATCAGTTGGGAAAAAAAACTGGACAACAACATGATTGGCTTCACTACATCTTTCGGCGATAGGTGTCGAATACCCACAGGAAGTAAGCGTTGTATAAACACATGGCAGTCATGGCTCTTAAGTCCAGCAAATTTACCCCCGTCAACATTCACGCAACGTGTGATATTAGAAGCATACCCATTGGGAAAATTTACAAACGATACAAACTTTAGAAACTCTTTTTTGCCATTCAGTTTCATAGAAAACAAATGCAAGATCCCTTCTAGCTTTATCACTATCCCTATTCATCCATAAACCCCTTCGTATGCCCATTCTTTCCAAATCAAGATGAGCTTTGATCGTGTCCTTTGTCTTGCCCTCGATATCTAGAATCGTGCCCACCAATGTGTCAAATACATTTTCCTCAACATGCATCACGTCTAGATTGTGCCTCAATTTTAGTTTCGACCAATATGGGAGGTCAAAAAACATAGGCTTGTGCGTCCAGTTCATATGTGTAGAAGGTCTGGTCCGACTAACTATTTTCTCGAACGGAGCAAAATCCAAATGGTTAAAGTGTTCCAAGATCTCATCACCGGACCATTCTCTAGGTCTGAGGCGATGCTCTGTGTTCTCGTCGAACTCTTTATCTTTTTCCCGTCACTCGTGGTCCCATGGCAACCATCTCCGATGAGCAAGGTAACAAACTTTTCCAGCGTGCCAACCAGAAGTTACATCTTCTTTATATACAGGACAGCCATATAACCCTTTGTGCTCTACCTAGAAACCATTGCATATGCGGGAAAATCATTCACAGTTCACATAACTGCTGCCCACAAAGTGAACATCTTCCTAGTTGATTTATCATACGTGCGCACACCGTTTGTCCATAAATCCTTCAGCTCATCAACCAACGCCTTAAGTAAACATCGATTGACCTATTAGGATCCTCAGTTATCAAAACAGTCATCATCATGTATATTTTTTTTTCATGCATTTCCAAGGCGGCAAATTATATGGGAATACAAAAATCGGCCACATGTTGTGATGTTGGTTTAGAACCCCATACGGATTGAATCCGTCAGTGGCAAGTCCGAATCTAACATTTCGGGGATCAACATCAAACTCGGGGAATGTTCGATCGAACTCTTTCCATGCCTCCCCATCAGCAGGATGCCGCATCACATCGTCGTCTACCCGTTTTTCCTTATGCCATCTCATGTTTGTGGCAGTATGCGTCGACATGTACAATTGATGCAACCTAGGTTTCAAAGGCAAATAACGCATGACTTTTTGTGGGATCTTAGTCATTCTATTCTGAGATGTCATTTTGAACCTCGACTCATTGCATATAGGGCATGTATCCAATGTTTCATACTCTTTGTAGAATAACATGCAATTGTTTTTGCAAGCGTGAATTTTTTCATAACCCAATCCAAGACCATTCAACACCTTTTGCGCATGTTCATGGTCTTTCGGCAAACAATTGTCCGTCGAAAGCATTCTCTTGAAAACCCCCAGAAAGTAATCAAAACACAGGTTTGACATACGATACTTTATTTTTCCATGCATTAACTCCACAATGGCCGTGAGAACGGAAAAGCTCCGCACCCCGAGTATAACTCTTGGTTGGTATTTTTTAACAGTTTTTCATATTATTTGAACTCTGCACAGTCCATTGGTGTAGGCATGTCATCTTCCCACTCCTGATTCATGTTGGTCGATGCAAATGGAAAAGCATCATGTATAATATCCATGACTTGTTCATTAGGATCCACACTAGGTTCCACATTGTCCACTCTCGTGGCATTTGAAGACGAAGCACGATCTAATTGTTCCTCGTGAAGGTTCCAAATGCTATATGTCTCAATCATTCAATTCCTTACTAAATGAAATCCAACAATTTCAATTGTCTCCCACAACGTGTTGTTACACCTCCTACAAGGACAACGGATTCTAGTTGCACCTGGGTTGTGTGTACAAGCAAACTCAATAAAATCATCAATTCCATCCAAGTACTCATCTGTGCATCTATTTGGGTTCCTGGCACCACAATCAAAACACAACAATCACAACAACTTCATACGAAGTCATACTGTCACCTTATGCCTCCAGTAAGGGCCCTATCCCATTCGGGAATGCATAGTCATGTCACGTAATCTACGGCTACATGAGATTAGATTTCGACGTGGATGAATTTCGGTAGCATCTCGATACAGTTCTTGAGGTATACTCTAGGTATAAATACCTATGTACCACCCGAAGAACGTACAGAGATGACATCAAAACCTAATCCTGTAGCCATACATTACGTGGCATGACTATGCATTCCCAAACTGTCCAAATAATGAGACAATTCAAGAATTAATTGGATCGCAGTCATACTTTACGCATCCATGCACAAAATCCAACTAATCTCGAATGGGAAACTAAGTGTTACTAAAAATAAAAATAAAAGTACGAAGTTAATTTCAATTAACTTCGTACATCACAACACATTGTGCTACGTCACGCACAATTTAACAACATAATATAAATATAATTTCACAAAAAAAAATACAAACATAACAAAACTAAGTTTAACATAATGTAATTAATTTAATATTTTTATAATACAAAACAAATAAAATACCTTCTCAATCGTTCTCCACCAATCGCTAATTACAAATATCCCTAACGAGAACAAAATTAATAGTGTTAGTATGAATTTACATTAATACTTTTAAACTAACGACAAAAAATACTTACCCAATGAATGTACTGAATTCCAGATTTGAAGAAGAAGGATTTCGCATGACGAATCAATTTTTCGTCTCAAAAAAAAAAAAAAAAAAAAAAAAAAAAAAAGCAGCACAAAACCACATTTTCGTCACAAAAGTGGTCCATTTCATCACGCAAGTATGTGTCGACAACCCACTTTGGTCGACAACCAACTTTGGTGCAGCGAAAAATTGGTTTCGTCGCTCAAATTCTATATCTCGTAGTGCAAAAGAAAATTTTCATCGCACATGAACGCATCGACATCACATTTTACGCGATGACATAAGTTTCCGTCACCCAAGTATTTGGCGCCAAATAAAAAATCCTAGGTTTTTCTTACACGACGATAAAGCTAATTGTCGCCCTAAGTTGTCTTTTGCGATGACATTTGTCGTCGTGCAAGTGTTTGCTAACAAATAAAAAAAACCCATTGTTTTCTGTCTAACTTTACACGACGAAATGGGAAACCATCGCACTAGGTTTTCTTTCTCGATGATATGTGTCATCGCGCAAGTGTTTGGCGCCAAAAAAATTAAACCCGCGTTTTTCTTTCTCACTTTGCGAGACGACCTTGTTTTTTGTAGCGCAAATTATCGTCGAGCAACGAAACTTTTGGTCGCGCAAGTTTTCGATAGTTTGCGTGAAGAATTTTTTTTTTCCGTCGCTCAAGTGTATCTTGCGCAAATAGTAAGATGTAGTAGTTGGGGGCTAGATACGGCAATTCATGATGCCATGGGTCAGACAGAGTTGCCACCTTTTGATCTAGACCCTCCACCAAGGCTTCCTCCTGGGATGGCTTCCCCGAGGGCATAGATGAGACAGACTTTGTTGCGATTCGATGGTAGAAGAAGGAGGTGACCTTGGCGATGCATCGCCAGGAAGTGCCCCTTGTGAATGCCTTCCTAACAGAGGTGAAAATGGATGCAGGGGAGCTCGCTCGGACCAAGGTTACGGACTTCTCGGATCACATCGAGAAGTCAGTCCTTTCTTCTTGAGTTTTTGAGTTTGTTTGTTTGAAGCTAAGTATCCTAGTACCTTGGTGAACTTTTTGAGTTTGTTTGTTTGAAGCTAAGTCTTGACTGCTGATGATGTGTTTTTTGCAGGCCTTTGGGATATGTACCTCACCTTGGTGAGGGCGGAGAAGGAGGTGGCCTTGGCTAGACGCCATTCCGAGACCGCGAAAGCCACCACTGTCAAAGCTTAGGCTGCCATTCGAGAGAGGAATGCGCTTCAGTTAAAGGTGGGGAGCCTGGAGCGGGAGCTGAAGGAGACGACTCGACGTCTGGAGGCGGTAGAGGAGGCTAGTGCTGAGGCTAAGACGAAGAAGGGGCAGGAGCTAGCTTCTGCGTGTTCTGAGGCAGTGGAGGAGTACAAGGGTTCTGATGATTTCAAGAACCTTGTACTTGATGCCATGGTGGAGGAGCAGTTCGGCTGGGAGAAGCTAGTGGCGAGGTTTAATCCAGATTTGGATATAAACTTTGACACCAGTGGCTTGTCTCCTCCCATTCCTCCTGGCAGGGATTTACTATTTGTGTCCCCTTCGTCTGCGGATGCCACGAGTCCCCCTAATGCTGAGGCGAGAGGCGGTGCCGAAGTCAACGAAGGTGAGTCGATCCCAGAGCCTGAGCCTACTGCAGAAAAGGCGCCGGAGGAACATGCTGATGCGTGAGGGCCTTGTATTTTTGCTTTTGTTATGTAACTTAGTATTTATTTTAGACAGTTGTACTCGAGTGCCGATGGTGCTCGTCTTGTTTGTATGGATTGCCTTGCCATAAGGCAGGGTTATTTTTATGATGTGTATGATAGCATGCCTTTTTCTTTCAGTTATGCTTGTTGTGAACCGAATTTGGGAGAAAAAATAGGAATAAGCCCAGGTTAGACGTTTCATTAAGTGGGTGCTAAAAGGCAGGAAGTGCAGAAGAGGTCTGAAGAAACATGAGGTCCTAGAGTCTAGGCATGCTTACTTATGGTAGCATTTGAGGTGGTCAACGTTCCATGGATGAGGCAAAGGTTTGTCATGGGTATCACAAAGTTGATAAGTGTCTGGGTGGTAGACTTTGATAATCTCATAAGGGCCCTCCCATGATGGTCCCAAGGTGCCCTCGGCGGAATTCTTGGTGGCCAAGGAAACCTTGCGCATTACCCAGTATCCCGTCTTGAAGGTATGAGGTTTAACTCGGGAGTATAGTAGTATATGGCGATACGCTACTTGTAGGCGAAGTTGCGCATGTTGGTTTGGTCACGAACTTGTCAATTAAGTCGAGGTTCATGGCCAACTACTCGTCATTGGGTCGGCATCGTACGCAGAGGTTCAGTAAGATGGTTGGCCAATCTCTATAGGAACAACGGCCTCGGTGCCGAAGGAAAGGGAAAAAGAGGTCTCACCTGTAGATGTATGAAAGGTAGTGTGATAGGACCATAGGACTTCCGGGAGTAGTTCAGGCCAACACCCCTTAGCCCTGTCAAGTTTGGTTTTTAGTGTCTTCTTGATCATTTTGTTCACAACTTCGACTTGGCCATTGGATTGGGACGATCGCGCTGCCTTTGGCAAAGTAACGGTAAAGGTGAGAAAATAGTTAACCTTTTTACTAGGGTATTGTTCCCTATTTATAGGGAAGTGAAAATGGTGGGAATTAAGTGCTTATAAGAATACTGTTTTATGATTGCACTTTTTTTGGTTGAAACTGTTGTATGATAATTAATCACTAATAATTGGTTAGTCTTCTAATCGCATACCAGTTCTTGTAAGTATCACTGATAATTTTTAGTAGATCATGAACTAGACAGTGTTATTTCTATATTCTAACAGATGACTAATTTACTCTGATATATGATCTCCCTTACTAATTTTTGCCTCTTGAGAAAATAAGTTAAGGATGACTTTGCATTGCATTGGACTTGTCATTGTACATTGACTATTGATGTATGATCAAATAACCATGCCCTTGATCCGTTTTCTTGGCGGGTTTTAAAAGATTAAACATCAGCAGAATGTAAAGAATGTGATAGAAACTTACTGTAGTGTGGCTTCTTGCCTAGGTGCATATGATTGTAAATTTGTCAGTGTAATTAGAAGGAATGAAGTTTGTTATTTCCATATTTGTAAGGGGGCGAGTTCATAAGTTCTTATAGAGTGCCCATTTCCCATGCATATCTTCAAACCATTAAATACTGACTTTGATCGCCACAAATCTTTCATTAATGATTAATATAATGTTTATTGGAGGGAAGGCTAACATGAGTTTTGGGCTGGGGTTGAGTTTATCCACAGAATTCACCATTTTACACTGGTCGATTCCCTCAACGTCTCAGTGGTTTAGTGTATAGATAGATCATTGTGGATCTGACATTGCTTGTGAGCGTAGAACAAATAGAAATATTTGTTCCAATATAGGACCGCACAAAAGTAAGAGTTTCCCTAGACAGATGTGTTCAAATTGCATGATAAAACTCTTTTAAGATATTGGTTACTTCGCTTGTTTTGAAGCTTTTGGAATGAGGTGAGCTTTATGTTTATATTACTTGTGGGCTCTAATGTTGCGATCAACAGGAGTGGAAATTAGAAGTTCTCTAACAGAAAAATTCACGAAATAGGGTGCATTTCATGCATGCATATACTGTGCCTAGTATGTCCTCTGATCCGCCTCATTGAAGATCAAATAACTTCATTTACCAGGTTTACTTGCCAAAAACCTGTGAAACTGAGTTGAAAACAAAGGATGCAATGGAATAGCATCATCCAATTCAATGGTCAATAGTCGCTATATAGGGTCGCAAGAACAATTATTTTACAGGACTTTCTAGGAAAGTGAATCAATGACCTAGGTTGCCTAGTTTCAATAGCTTTCCATTCGTTTAGAGGAAACTTTAGCTTGAAGCATGAACTTGCCACACTCAATGTGAAGATTACCTTGCTTCTGTGAGCATGCAATCTATTTGACCAAAAAGAAAAGAGAGCGAAAAAGAAAAGGACTTCTAAAGCTCATCGCTAGTCATCCGATGGCATGCAATAATAAATCAATTTATTGGAACGTTGAACACATCCCGGAAAATTATATCACCTTTTGGAGGGTGAGAGTGGAAGGTCTACTCCTTAGTGGGTTTGAGCGAGGTACAAAACTACCGCTTCTATTGTAAATAATCTTCAAACTCTTATAACTGCAAATAGTGAATAGTCTCCTTCCCTTGGGATAGAAACTCCAGTTTAGACCACTAACTAAGGAATAGGGTTGCATAGTGGCTTTAGCAAAGAGCATCATAATCAGTATGCTTTGCTCTCAAACCGCACCATTAAAAATGGTGTGACTTGAGCAATAAAGAAGACAATTATGCTTCGTTGCACGTTAACTAAACAAAAGATTATATGAATCAGTGTTTTATTGTACTAAGCCAGAACGTTTTTGGTGGATTCATTATCTGACCTATGGAAAAGAAAACATTAAAAAATTAAAAAATTAATTTTTTTTTTTTTTTTTTTTTTTTTTTTTTTTTTTTTTTTTTGTTGAGGTGTTTTTAACCCGTACTATTGGTTCATGATGCACATTTGTGCTAGAGGCATACGGTGGTTCATTATGAATAAAAGGTTTACATGCGCTGTACAGATTGAAAATTAGAGCATCTCCAACCGATATGTCAAAAGTACCACATAGATATTTAACGGTTAGAAATAACATTTCACATCACTCCAACCGAATTGTCAAAGATGATGTGGAATGAAGGCTAGAGGTTCAGCTGTTATTTTTGACATCCCAAAAGCAAGATGTCAAATGAATATTTTATTATTTTTAAAGGCAGTTGGTTGTAACTTTCATTTATTATTTTCCTTTTTTATTTTTTTTCTTCTTTATCTTAAATGATTTGATTGTTACAATAATTATTTATTTGACATATCGGGTGGAGTAAAAAACTGTGTAAATGTCAAATTGCCACATCAGCCATCAAATTTAAATTTGATGTTTGGTATTTGATATCTCCCTTGGAGATGCTCCTTTGTTTGTTCCCAAATTATATGTTCATTGTTCCTCCAGTCAATGTTTTCATTGGTTCAATTAATGTTGAAAAGAACGATAGTGGGCGCTGGAATTCGGCCAATGAATCAGAGGACACTAACCAGGCAGTTGTTTTCTTTGCTATTGTTTTTTAATATGTATATATTTAGGAAAAAAATATTATGTATTGGGACAATATGGCTTTTTTTTTCTGGGGCTCACTCAGGCTGGTCATCCAGATCAGTGTACAAAGGGTAAGTGAGGAAATGTAACTTATCAAACAGTAAAGTAATGTTTGATAAGCTAACTGAAAATAGAAATGACCATCAATAACTCAACCGAAAATAGAAGAAAAAGTTAAAGGAATATATTGTCAAATTCGGAGAATTTTGTGGAATGTGAGACCTTATTCCTTATAAGGTGTTTTCTAGAAAGAAAAAAAGAAAGTAAAAACTGTGTTGACACTGGGGTTTTGCCCCACTTGGTTTCTCCACGAAGATTTTAACGAAGTCATCATTAACATGTTAGTTCTTATTACTTCTTTCTTTGTATAAACCGATTTGGCAATGCGTCTGAATTAATTGCAGGAATGGGAACTGAAGTACAGTCAAAGATGTATCTACCAGGATATTATTCCGTACAGAAACTAAGTAGCAATGTTGGCCATGGTAGCTGGTCCCTACTCCATGAGAACAAAAACTTGAAGAATGGGCAACAATATGAATTATTCTTGACAAGGCCGATTATGGATGGATTTCATGGACGCGATAAGGAACAAATGAGGCAAACTATACTGAAGCATGAGTCAGTATTCAGGCATCAGGTGTATATTCTAGAACCTAAATCTGTTGAGCTCTAAAGTGTGATTATGACTATAGCTTTTATTACAGACTTAAGAAATATCAGACAACAATGGTTTTATATTAAGTGTCAAACTTTGAGTACTCAAAATCGTTAGCTAATATTTGAACACCTTTATGTGTGATTTCTCATTCAGCTCAATGAACTCCATCGTCTTTACGAAAGGCAAAAGGACTTGATGAATGAGATCAAAAGCAAAGAACTACTCAAACATCAAAAAGTAGCAGGGACATCACTATCAACTTTCTCTTCCTCTGGCTTTCCAAATGAAGATGACAGAAACAGCAGGCATAATTCTAATTTACCCTTGGTTGATTCCAGCTTTGGTAGACCATGTACATCGAGTACTGGTATCAGCCAATCTCCTTGTAATTCTATTGGAAAAACCCTGCAAACCAGTGGTGGCCCCAGTGAAAGTAGAGTCAGGATGAAGGACCACGAATCTCTGGATTCCAGAGGGAAGAAGCCTCGGAGAAGATTGTTCAATCTTGAACTTCCAGCCGATGAATACATCAGTGATGGAGAAGAACCAAAAGGAGTTTTCTTGGGGCCAGGTACAGAAAATTATCCTCCCAACAGAAAAAATGAGGTTACTCAGGCAAGAGATGATATTTTATCTAATCACATTGGTGAAACATCCGGCTATAACAATGGTTTGCATATAGAAAGAAGCAGTGGTTTGACTGATCTGAATGAACCTATTCAGATAGACACAGTGTCCGCTTCAACTTCTGTCTTTAAGTATGGCAATGACTTCAGCTCCAAAGAGGAGATAGAAACGCAGGTTTTATCTGCAAATGCCTACAAAGGTGTCTGGCCTTTTGCAAAGAAATTCCCTGAAAACCCACAAATGGAGGAGGATGGAAGAGTTAGTAATCTGCATTTAAAGAACGAAAGGCACCAAAAAGAGTGGTCAACAAGTGCTCTCAAGGCTGGTAAGGAACTAGTTATCTAACTTCTTTTTTATTTCTGAAATGTCTTCTGTCTTTAAGATTCATTATTACGGAAGAAACACTCTAAGCTTATTTCATATTTGGTTTAACTAAATAAACAATATCACCAAGACTAGAGCATGTTTCCTCCATTGTTTACTTTATTGCTAATAAAGCACCAGAGTATAAAAGCTTACAAATGGTTTGGTTTATTTCAGAACAAACAAGAAGTTTTCCTGGTGGAAGGTTTGGTCTTCAAGACTTTAATAAGCCATGTGAATCATCAGAAACTGAAGCTAGGATAGTCTGTAAGCCTACTAAGTTTTTCTTGTCTGATCAGAATAAAATGGAGAAGCAAAGAAAGAGGACAATTTTTGGTATAGAAATTTTTGAAAGAGACGTCAATTCATCTGCTAAGCCTTTGCAGTCTGATGTGACCATTTCCGAGTCATCTCCTAATTGGACAAAACCTCCAATTAGCATGAGCCAGAACTCAATATCAGCTCAAGGAAACACTTCCTTGAATACCTCACAATCTGATAAGGCTTCGATCATGTTGCAGCAAAGCACTGAAGTTATCAGGGACAGATTGCTTGTAGATTGTAATTCAATACCATCAACTCCCAGTCTAAAAGCTGAAGTGTCGCACCAAAATGGTGTCTGCTTTCGTGCAAAATCAGATACCAATGAACTACAAGCTTCTCACCCCTCAATCAGCCCTGCTTTCCCAAATGGAGACAGCAACCGCAATTTTGCGAACCAAACTGATTTAAGAAAGGGCCCCAATCAAAGTCCTGTTCAGAATTGCTCATCGTTAATGCGTGGCCATGATGCTGAGAATTGGAGAGTTGAAATAGGCGATTGGATGAAGACTAGGAAGACTTTTGCTCTTCCCATGTTTGACAAGGTTTCTTTTCCTTATCCTTGTTCATCCTCAAAATCTGGTTGTCTTGCTTCTGCAGTTGATAATGGCTACACCGTTAGAATTGAATCAGCGAAAAGCAATGTGGTTCAGGATCCTGTGTCACACATGTGTACAGTGCAACTGAAAGCAGATGGTCCGGGTCTAGAAAAGAGATTGTTTAATGCCAATGCTGATTCGAGACACCAAATAGATTTAAATAGATGTTTTACTGAAGAAGAAACTGAAATGACTGCCGCCTGTCCAATTATGAGAACTGAAACTGTGATTGATTTGGAGGCACCAGTGATAATTGAATCAGATATAGATGCGGAAGATTCTATGCAAAGCAAATGTAAGGAACCTCTTGACTTACCTCATGAGGGCCTTCTTAGAGTTGCAGCTGAGGCTCTAGTTGCCATATCATCATCCCAAGGTCGTGATATGCAGAACAGTGCTGCACATCATCTTCAAGAAGGTGCCACTTGTCACGAAACAGATGCTTCAGAAAATGACTCCCTTATTTGGTTTGCAGAATTAATTTCTTCACATGAAGGAAATATTGACAATGATAAAGTGGCAGAAGTTAAGGGGACTGCCTGTGATGAAGATGATGTGATGGATTTCTTTGAGCACATGACATTAAATTTGGTGGAAACCAAGGTAGACAAGCACTTCTATGTGCCTCCCAATCAAGAGAATCCAAGAAAAGAAGTGTCGCTTCCCAAACGGCCACGAAGAGGTCAGGCGAGGAGGGGCAGACAACGAAGGGACTTCCAGAGAGATGTACTTCCCGGTCTTTCTTCTTTGTCAAGAAATGAGGTGACTGAGGATCTTCAGTTAATCGAAGGGTTGATTAGAGAAACTGGTGGCAGTTGGCAGTCAAGTTTGACACTGAGAAATGCCGGTAGGAGTGGTAAGGGAAGGGGGAGGAAGCGTATGGGAACCTCTGCCCCCTCTACTTCTGTAGCCGCAGTTAGCCAGCCCCAGATTGAGGAACCGAAATGCGAGGAGCTGCAGGGACTTGAGGAAAGAAGTCTAACTGGTTGGGGTAAGAGGACAAGGCGGCCACCAAGGCAAAGATATAGTTCTCCTGTTCCTAAAAGATAAGTGGGGGGAGCCGTCCTGTCCATAGAGATTCAGAAGGGCATTCAAGTTTTAGAGCTAACATGCATGGATCTTCCCTCGGGTTTTGTAAGCGGTGGAGTTGTAATTGTATGTATTATGCCAAATTTGAGCCATCCATAGTTTCATTTCCCGTATTCCGAGTGAACTTGTGCCATTAATCAGAATAAGTTTACAGAAGAATTTGTTGAACTGAAAACGTGTAACATAACTGCAAGAGCAAAGCAAAGCCTATAGAGCTGTTTAGGTACTTTCAATAGTCGGAAAAATATTTTTCCATCTTTTCTTTTCTGAACCTCGTCTTGGATCCACCGACTCAGTGTGGTGAAATGTAATTCACTGCAGAGTTTGACTTGAGACATAGCACTTCGTCAAAACAGAGAAACGATATACAAAAAGAACCAACCAAGAAAAAAAAAAAGGTGTTTTACTATTATGCCCAATATAAGTACTCAAATTATAATTTTTTTTCTTCTTCCATACAATGGATTTTAGAAACATATTCAAAGTTTATTTACAACATAACAAAGAGGCTTTGAACTTTTAATAAATTATAAAATTGTCATCCATTTCTTAAAACAAGCCAAACCTCATAATCTCATTTTAAAAAAACTTAAAACACTCAACAGGGTATCAAAGTAATTTAATAATCAAAATTAAATTCAAAGGGTCAGCTGTTTTTTTTTGGTTTGTTTATAGAAATTAAATGGTGTAGTGTTATATATATCACTAGTGCTAAGAATGTGTACATAACTAAAGAATTCCGAGCCTCTACATTTAGATTTCATGCATTTATCCACATTTCGCAAAATCTTGACTATTTTAATCAGTGGCGGATCCAGAAATGGAAAGCCAGGTGGGTGGAATTTACATATTAAACTTGACGGTACGAGTGAGTTTCATAATAATCAGAAAAAGATACACCTAGTTAGAGGAATGTAATAAGCCTTACCCTCAAATACATCTATACATAAATAAAACCCTAAAATATTAAGTTTTAAATTAAAACTATAATTAAAGATATATAGAAAATGAGAGAATTAGAAATTACTTCTTGTTATAGAAAGGAGAGGACAAGCTAGTAAGTTGCCCACTACCCAACCAGTATAATAGAAAGATGCAGAAAATAAAGAGGGTAAAAGGATGTTGTTGTTGTCCTCGGCGGGTCTGTAGAATATAAGAGAGAAAATGGAGAAAAGTTGGTGTACCAAAGGAAAAGAGACAAAAGCTAGGACCACTTTGAAGTTGGATGGGCGTGTGTGTATATTGGGTTAGCTTTTAAGCTCTTAACTTGGGCTGCCCATATAACATATATAGGTTTTGAAATAATAAAAAAATCTTTGGATGGGCGGGCACCCACCCTGCCCTTCACACAGATCCGCCACTGATTTTAATAATCTAACCATTTAAAGACATGACATGTTAGCAACATAAGTGTTTAATTTTACTTTTCATTAGACAATTATTTAAAAATAAAATAAAATAAAAAGAAAAATCCACAAAAAGTGAGGGGGGAGGGCTGTCGGTTTCTTTGAGAGAGAGAGAGAGAGTGAGAGAGAGGGAGAGAGAGAAGCTGGGTGGTGTTGGGTGGGGTGAAAGATGGTGGATGGTATGTCTATTTGGGTGTGTTGGGGTTGGCACAGGCGGCGCGGGGATAGGGGAGGGGAAGCTGCATTTCAGTTTTTTTATTTTATTTTAAAGATTAATGTGACTTTTTAATATTATTTTTTAGTTTTAAATTGAATTTTCCAATATTAGAAGTTATTAGATATTTTTAATTAATTTTCTCAAAGTTTGATGATGTGTCTTGTTTTAAGCAATTAGATTATTAGGATGGTCAAAATTTTGCCTACAAATGGAATGAATTTCTGGAATACATGGGTCACATGTGATGGTTATATTTATCATAGGAGTCTATGACCCATGAGCCTGTGGTATGCATCATGAAAGTTGAAACATAAAGAATAATGATTCATGACCCATGAGCTATGGTATGCATGCATGTGATGTTTTGTTTGGTGAAGCCATGACGACATGAAAACTTTTGAGCTATGGCATGCATGCATGTAATGATTCTAAGCATTCACAATGGCTCAAAATTGATTGGCCCAACACGTGGATACACAATACACTAACAAACGCTTGCTTCTTTCTTATACACTGCGGCGTCCTCCGTTCTTTTAAAGCGTCGGGGCACGCTAACAAATGCTTGCTTCTTTCTTATTGACTGCGTCCTCCTTCCTTCTTTTAAATTACTATTTTTTTCTATTTTTTTTATTTATCAAATACTATTCTCTCTAGTTAACACCACAAGTGACCTCTAATTTTGACCAAATAAAAATTTGAAGAGTAGCAGGCAGTGGCGACAAATTACTTACTGATTCTGTCATGCATGCACATTTAGCTCTCATGCCATTGGCACTCTAATTTAATTGATATGGTTATTCACCTCATTTGTCACATAAGGTGACATGAGAATGTAATTTACAAATATGATAAGAATAGCATTATTCATTTTTTTCTTTCTTTTCTTCTTCCTGTCTCACACCCTCCACCTCCTGTCCTTTTTTTTCCCTTCTTGATTGTGCCCCAAAATCTCATCTCTCACCAACGTCACAAAACATATTAACAATTATCAAATATTGAACTTTTTGGCTTTACCCAAAAATGAAAAACAATAATTTATTCTTCTTTTTCTTGTTTCTCAGGAAGGTTTCTAAACATAATGGATTTTTATGGTGAAAAATGAATAAGTGTGTCAACTATCTGAAAAATTACAAAAGGCATTAGATTTGGAAGCCTCATCACAAATTTTGCTGCTGGAATTCGGAGAAGCCTGCCACTTCACCATAAAGCCCAGAAACGCAAAAAATCCCACCACCTACAATAATAGTAATACAAATGTACAAAGATACATTCTCTCTTGAAATGTGAGTTTTCTTTTGATAGGGGAAAAAGAAGGGATTGTGATTGCAGAGGTTTTGGAGGAAGGAAAGCTTGGTGTGAGAGATAAGATTTTTGGGTGAGACATGAAGAAGGAAAAGAAATAAGAACAAGACGTGAGACAAGAATTGACTCAAAAAAAACGTGAGATAGGAGAAGAAGGAAGAGAAGAAAGAGGATTTTTTTTTTTTTTTGTTTGACGAAAAAGAAAGAGGAATGATGTTAGCTTTCACATCTGACGGCTTTCCTATGGCTTCCATTCCTTTGACGTTTCGTCCTACTTTCACCATTGCACAGGAATAACCCAACTTTTCTGTCACCCTCTTGATTCCGAGAACTACCCAACTTTTCTCTCTGTCTCTTGATTCCGAGAAAATGAGACTCCTTTTTTGGTACCTCATCTCACTACCCTGCCTTTATCTACTTTCAAAGCACTGGCTTAATCTCACTACCCTGCCTTTATCTCGCGTTTCTTTCACTACCCTGTCTTTTTTTCTCTCTCCCTTAATCTATCCCATTTCCTGCCTCTCTCTCTCCCTTGATTGATCTATCCCATATAGCACTGACTTTGTCTATCTGCGTTTCTTTCACTACCCTGCCTTTGTCTCTCTCCCTTAATCTATCCCACTCTCTCCCTTAATCTATCCCATTTCCTGCCTCTCTCTCTCTCCCTTGATCTATCCCATATAGCACTGACTTTGTCTCACTGCGTTTCTTTCACTACCCTGCCTTTGTCTCTCTCCCTTAATCTATCCCATTTTCTACCTCTCTCTCTCCCTTAATCTATCCCATTTCCTGCCTCTCTCTCTCCCTTGATCTATCCCATATAGCACTGACTTTGTCTCTCTGCGTTTCTTTCACTACCCTGCCTTTTTCTCTCTCCCTTAATCCATCCCATTTTCTACCTCTCTCTCTCCCTTAATCTATCCCATATAGCACTGACTTTGTCTCTCTGCGTTTCTTTCACTACCCTGCCTTTTTCTCTCTCCCTTAATCTATCCCATTTTCTACCTACCTCTCTCTCTCCCTTAATCTTATCCCATTTCCTGCCTTTCTCTCTCTCCCTTAATCTGTCCCATATAGCACTGACTTTGTCTCTCTGCGTTTCTTTCACTACCCTGCCTTTTTCTCTCGCCCTTAATCTATCCCATTTTCTACCTTTCTCTCTCTCCCTTAATCTATCCCATTTCCTGCCTTTCTCTCTCTCCCTTAATCTATCCATAGCACTGACTTTGTCTCTCTGCGTTTCTCCCACTGCCCTGCCTTTCTCTCTCTCCCTCCCACCATCTTCCTCTCCCACAAATAACTTCTCAAGACACCCAACGATACAATCGTGAGACGTTTAGAAGAGTAAGTGCACTTTTTTGCTTTCCTTTTTTTTTCTTATGTCGTAACTAGTAGGTACCTTGTGAAACGAATGTGCAGTGGCTGTTCTAAGACTAAGAGCCAGAAAGAGATCCAATAACTTTACAAGTGTTTATACATGAACTGTGATATGTCACGCTTCTTTGATCTCTGCATAATATGGTACTGGCAGACATGTTTGCTTCCGTCCTAATATATACGTAGCTTCCTGAACTCTGAATCTTTTTTACTGTAGCTCTATAACATGCCCACCCAGTTTTGCTTCTTTTTTTTTTTTTTTTTTTTTTTTTGGCTTTGGATCTGGAATTTAGTTGTGTCTCTGCACACTTGTTCAATTGTTCAAAGACTCATAAGACGATCGAGCTAAGTGCGCTGTTTTTCTTTCAGTTTTTTCTTGTGTTTTGCCTTGCACCATGCTGTGGTGGCTCTTTTTTTTTCTTTTTTTCTTTTTTTCTGGCTTTGGGTATGGAATTTAGTTGCGTCTCTGCACAATTGTTCAATTGTTCAAAGACTCATAAGACGATCGAGCTAAGTGCGCTGTTTTTCTTTCAGTTTTTTTTCTTGTGTTTTACCTTGCACCAGTAGTTGTGGTTCTTCTTTTTTCTTTTTTCTTTTTCTTTTCTGGCTTTGGGTATGGAATTTAGTGTGTCTCTGCACAATTGTTCAATTGTTCAAAGACTCATAAGACGATCGAGCTAAGTGCGCTGTTTTTCTTTCAGTTTTTTTCTTGTGTTTTACCTTAAGAACCCAGTTGCTTTTCTTTTTTCCCTTTTTTTTTTCTGGCTCAACCCAGTCGCTTCTTCTTCTTTCCTTTTTTCTGGCTCTGGGTATGGAATTAAGTTATGTCTCCGCACAGTTGTTCTAAGTCCCATAAGACGATCGAACCCAGTTGTTTCATTTTTTTCTTGTGTTGTAGCTCATTGCTTCTTCTTCTTCTTCTTTTCTGGCTTTCAGTATTTGTTTGTTCTGAGACCCATAAGAGGATCTAATTAAGTGCATTATTTTGCTTTCATTTTCTTATGTTATTACTCAAGAAGCCACCTTACCGCCACGCCAAAGTTGTTGTAAACCCAGAAACAGTGTATCCAATAATATGCGACCCGCCTTTGATCTAAATTCTGTTTCTTTCTTACTGCAGCAGACTTTGGCCAACCGCGCGGGATGAATCATCAAGCCAACCTCCCTGTTAGCGATCCTCCACGATCAGAATCGTAAGTCAAACCCTTCTTGCCTTCGTTTCAGTAGTAGTTCCATTTGCTCTTGGTTTAAATAGTCTTGTTCAAATAGCCATGAAAAACTTCCAACGTTCAGGAATTGCATGGTTACCCCAACGGGCTTGAGATCTGCTGTCCCCAAATTGTGCCTCCCTTTCTACTTCCTATCTAAAATTGTGACATCTGTCCTTCCACTTAAGCGAATCAAAATGCTGTTAACTCTATGAGAAAATAATAAAATAATAAATGTTGATGTACTTGGTCTACTTGCGGAGGAACTATTGTTTCTCTCTTTGTTGAGATTAGTTCATATGCCACCGGACCTATTGGTGCAAGCCATTGAAAGAGCTCAACAGAAGCAGTTAATGGGACTACTTTAATAACTCAGCTCTTCTGTTGTTAATTCTGATAAATGCATGCTCTATAGTTTTTCTTATTATTTATAAGATTACATGTATAGAATATAAACAATCCTTTACCATTTACATTTTCTCATTAATTGTAACAGCAACACAAGCAGAGAACTTTCTACAAGGGCATTCCACAAATATATATGTTTTGTCATCACCATACTAGGTGTGTTCTTCCAACTGAAACAGGGATCTGGAAAGGTATCTCTATTTGACGAAGACTACACGTCTTTTGTGATACTTATTGTTGCTATAATCGTTTACGGAGGGTCATTAATTGGTGGCACATATATACGCAAAGCTCGCCTTAATTTAGATTTGGCAATATTTATGGACAAGATTAGCCTTCTTTTTGGAGCTCTTGCCTTGGTTTTGGAATTGGTGATCCTTGTTCCGGCTTTAGGGTTATCTACCCTCCTCTTCTGGATCGTTTGTTTTGGGAGTTTTATAGCTGTTTACTCGTACCCATTCCTCAAAACATTGTTTACAAGGGCAGTTGGAGGAGTTGTTCACGCCTTTGAAAATTTGAGAGAGTATTTACCCGATGCCTGCTGCTTCGCAATGAAATCCAATGAGGATCAAACTGGGTTACCCTAAATAAGTTACATACAACACTTATCCAACAAGATGCAAGTCAGAGAGTTTGCTTCACATGATCGTGTGTTTGTGTGTTCTGTAATAAGGTCAATATGCACGACCAAGACTTAGACTTGAGTGGCTTGTTATTTTCATTTTGTTGATTTACTTTTGACTCATTGTGTGCTCTATCTTTTTGTTAAAGTACAGTATATTAGTTCCTTCTTTGTCTGTCTGAGGAAGGAATATTTTATGTCATACAGTTTAAGTTACATGTGCATGGCGGAATCACAGCCAAGACTATGGTGGGCTGTAGCATTGGGAAGTTTTGAAGAAAAAAACAATAATAAACCTATATCTTATATGTGTGACATGTATATGTGTTTTGTACTTAGTTTTCTGTTAACATTTATTTGGTCATAACAGATACATTGGTGCTAATCCTGTTAGAAATTCCTGTATTACCTTATTCATTTGAACCTTTTTGTGTTTGTTTTTGTTTCTAATAAATATGAATATATATAAACCTGATAAATGCATATGATTTTGCTCTTTTAAGTGTAAAGTTTTCAAGCACAAAAACATACCCACATCTCAAACAATCTTATACATATACATATACATAAAAATAAAAATAAAAAGTCAGTGTAATAGAATGTCACAATCACCCACACCCACATCCACATCTCAAGCACAAAAACATACCCACATCTCAAACAATCTTTTGCATATTTAAAAAAATATGAAGATACATATAATAAAATAAGAAAAGAAAAATCAGTGTACTGAAATGTCACAATCACCCACACCCACATCTCAAGCACAAAAACATATACATATACAAGCTCTTCCTCATCAAACATAGACATGCTCTGAATTTTACTTTTCTGGTACGTATTCTATACAACGTTCGCAAGAGTAAGTAAGTGCACTTTTTTATATTATAATTTCCATGAAAGCGTGCGGGAGTTTTCTAATTTGAACCGTTAGATAATTCCTATGATCCAGAGATTTAAAACAAAACATCGGATTCAATCGCTCCTTCCACATGAGCTTTCAATTTGGTGCTTTGCTTCACAACAATAGTTCAAAGAGTAGAAATTAAAAATCAATATAGCTCACTCCAGACCACAAGATCTCATTGCTAATGAGTCTGGCCATTTCCAAACGGAACTAGCTCAAAAATTAGACATTAGAAGCTTTGATTTTAGGATTAATTGTAGCAATGGTCCCTGAACTATACCCTTAGTTACATTTTGGTCACTCGACTCCAAATATAGCTATAGAGGTCCCTCAATTATGTATGGTGTTGCATTGCGAAAACTTTCCCCTGCGCATTGCGAAAGATGCCAAACCTTTTCGCATAAAGGGCATACCAAAACTTTCAATTTCAAGTCAAATTAATTATTAAGGTTGTGAAGAAGGTTCAGTAAGTATTTAATATTTTACTAAATGAGGCTTCAGATCACTAATATCTCTTGTTCCTTTTTTTACAGTAGCTATAGGCGCAATACTTCCTACAAGATCAATTTCAGACATTAATGTACATCCTCGTTTCTGGTATCAATTAACTATATTAATTGATTTGTTATTTTGTAAATCCCGGTACTTATTATAATGAAAGATGAATAAGATTTGAAAAATTGAAGGACTTGGTTACAAATAATGTGGGTTGTATTGCAAATCAGTAAAATATGTGTACTTTAAAAAAATAAAAAAAAGATGAAGCAAAATATAGTTGTTGTAATCAAAAAAATTATTTCTTTGTATCCGTAATTTATTTTGTTGAGTATGACTTGGCTTCTTCAAGCTGAGCCTCCACAACAAATGAGATAATGACACTTATTAAATTTGAAGGGAAAAAAAAAAGTTAAACAACAGTTGAGTATGGCTTTATCCTTATTTTTATTATTAAGTTTTTAATATAAGTTGGTATTTAGCCACAGTTGAGAAATCGATGTCTAAATTAATTAATTAATTTTTTCAATAGTTATTTTCATGTTTTGAGAAAGCTGCATGCAAATATAATGCTAAGTAATTGGAATACGAATGAATATGCAACTAATCCAATCAGCAATGGATAAAAATTAGGGAGTTGGGGGAGACTAAGATGCTAAAACCTACTTTGAAAATGTAAAAAACATGTATTTTTTTATATATATAATAAATATATAGACATTTTTTCACATGTTTTCATATTTTTTATTATTTTCTATGACATTGCATTAATTGAATTGAAGAGTTTATTGGAGCAAAAATTATTATTAATCATCCTTGTTCCCGTAATTTTATTTCTTTGCAGCATACAGAGTAACATGTGATGATGCAATGCTGGGTTTATTTAATTATTTATTTTTATGTAATGTGGTCATATGTGGGCTGAAAGAAGTGTTGATGAAAATTGAGATAAATAATTCTTTTCTTTGCATATATTTTTAGTCTGAATGTATTTTTTCTTTTGAAACCAAACCTTTATTATTGGAATTATGAATGTATAAATTTTTTTTTTCATTATATAAAATAATAATTATTTTTTGTCCAATGATAAATAATTCAAAATACAAATATGAGCAAAATCAACCCAACCCCATTTGAAGTCAAACTTTTAGATTAGATGTAGCTTCTCAGTAAATGCGAAGTGGTTATAATCTTCAATGCGGAGAGCAAGAAACGGAGAGAATCTAAGGGACAGTTGAAACAGATAAAGGCTATCTATCGATCTCAATCATGCATCTTTATATCGTGGTTAGAGCATCTACAATGGTTAGTCAATAGTTTAATGTTAAACTATTTTGACACATATTGAATTGAATTGCAGTTTTACTTTTAATGGGACAATTCAATAGCTTCATATCAATAATTATATTTATTTGTATGTTTTTTTACATACTCAAATAAAACAATTGTACCATTGAAATATTCTTAAATATATCTTTTAAAAGGGACCAATTTTGAATATATTTGAAGAAAGGTTAATTTTTTAAAAAAAATCATGTATCACATACATTAAGAAGGAAACTTACGTGGCATAATTTTTTTTTAATTCTTTTAGAAAAAAACAAGATTGAGAAGAACATGGCACAACCCAACCGACATAAGAAACTCAAAAATCGATGTGACACATTAGAAGAAGCCCGATACAACCCGCACAGGGAAACTCTCACATGTTTTTTCTAGATACCACATCTTTTAAAATAAATAAATATATATACATATAAAATAAAAAATAAAGAATGATAAAACATTTAAAATACAAGAAAATATTATTAATTAATATAAATATTAAGAATTAAAATTATTAATTAAATTAAATAATATTGTAAATTCATACTTTTTTATATTTAAAAATTTAAAAATTAGAAATAAAATCACACTTTTTATAAAACACAGCTATCAATTTTTTTTAAAATATAAAATAAAGAAAATTAAAAATTAAAAAAAAAAAAAAAAAAAATTGGCATAAGCATGACTGTGTGTCCCATTCCGCATTACCATACTAAAGAAATCTTTAAAAGAAAAAGTTGATGTGACACATTTAAGAAAGTCACCTGTTGTCACATCCATATCATCCTGTTGTCCCAAACACACAATAAAAAGAGAACTCTGTCCTGTTGTCCTACATACCACATCTAAAAACATCCGACACCATATTACATTCCAGTGCATAAAACCAGCACAAGATCCTCATCAAACACACGAGACGTTTACAAAGAGTAAGTGCACTTTTCTTCTTTCATTTTTATGTTGTTGTAGCTCCCGTAATAGGACCAAGTTACAAAATGTGCTAGTTTTCACGACAGCCACCGCCAAGTTGTTCTTCTAAGACCCAGAAAGAGATCCAATAATTCTACTAGTGTTTATAAATGAAAATTTTAATATGTGACGCTTCCTCGATCTGAATTCTGTGTGTTTTTTTCTCTCTCTATTTTAACTGTAGCTTTAGTTGACAGATCCCTCATATTTGAGGGACATCCACGTAATTAAGTCATACTTTTATTAGAAGGGACATCCAAGTGAGTTGACGGATCCCTCTTATTCTTGTATATAATTATAAATAAAAAAGCAAGAAATTATTACAAGGTTGGAAAGAAAAAAGAAATTAATATAAGGTGGTCAAAACAAGAGGTCATTTTCCATTAATCTGCACCCAAATAAAGAAAGGAAAAAAAAAGGGAGATTCACTAACTTGGCTTAGTTGGTTAGCAGAAGCAAAAATAAATTAATCATAAAATAACAAGAGGTCAAGAATTTAACAAGAAAAAAGGGTCTCAAGTAAAGGCAACCCCATGATTATTGATTTTACTACTTTCACATTGACATTCAGGCCGGTTAGGTTGATGTCAATTGCCCTCAAAGAAACACCAGTAAACAGACAAGTTTTACATAAAAATAGGAACAGATGGGAAACAGAAACAAAGCAACATCACCAACCATTTAAGGAGGATACTTTCATATGTGGTGTCCTGTTGTGGTAATTGAAAGTAGCAAGTTGGTTATATTTGGTTCGCTTCACTCCTTGATTATGTATTATTGTCTTTTCAATATTTGACTAGAGAAGCGAGGGACATAAACGTCAAAGAAAAATGATATATATATATATATATATATATTCATCAAATTACATGAGTATGGATGCATGCCAATGCCATGATTGAAGCTTAATATTTTTGGTTTTATTTATAGAAATTAAATAGTCTAGAGTTTATCTATATATATTATTAGTACTAAGACTGAATATATGAATAAATATCTCAAAAAATAATAACAAGTGGTTAGTCTAAAAATGTATCCCCTCTTCCCCTCTTCCCCTCTTTGGTCGTAATGCACTGCCACTTAGAAATTCAAGGAGCTGATCATGAGAATTGAAGGGCATCCTCCTCCTCTTACTTAATGAAGAGTCCCCCGGGCCCCAAACCAAAATGGGCTACCTTAATATAACACGAGTGCTTCTATAGTGAGTGGAAAGTTATAAGGGGTTTTTTTGAGGGGTATGTAAGAGCCGTTGGATTAAATCCAACGGTGAGTTTTTAAAAGAGGGTGCATGTAGAACCGGGTTGAAATCTGACCCGTTTGGAAACCCAACTTCAGCTGAAGATTTTTCCCTCTCTGTGAAAAACTCAAGAACACAATCCTCTCTTTTTAATGTAATGCAAATCCACAATTAGAAAGATCCAAAGCTCCCAAACTCTATAATCGCTCCATTGTCATCAGCTCCTTGGGAGGCCTGCGATCTATGGTATCCTCGGTATGATGATTAATGGCTTTTACCTAGCTATTGCCCTGTTTTGATTCTATGATTGAAGTGAAAACCCCTTCTCTTTTTCGTTCAGCAGAAGAGATTCCAGATGAAAGCAAAGTAGCATATCTCTTTTTCGTGCTGCTGCAGTTGTTCCTGGATTTTGGTAGAGATGGAGTCTCCACTACGAAAGAATCCTCTCTAATGTCCACCACATTCTTTGAAGCTGACTGAGTTCGGAACTCCCGATTGACTTTGAGAGGTAAGTTCACTGTTGCTGGATTGATTTTTTGGGTTTGATTTGTTTTTTGTGAGGGTGAGAAATTTGTCATTTGTGGCATCAATAATGCGTCATTTGCTCTGCTATCAATAATGCGTCATTTGACTTTGAGAGGTAAGTTCACTCTTGCTGGATTGATTTTGCTGGGTTTGATTTGTTTTTTATGAGGGTGAGAAATTTGTCATTTGTGGCATCAATAATGCGTCATTTGCTCTGCTATCAATAATGCGTCATTTCCTTATGAATATTCAATATACTTAGTTGATTATTTTTGTTTGGAGGGGGATTGGAAAATTATGAAATGTAGGTAAAAGATCCTAAACTTAGGCTTAATGGCATTAGAAGTAAGCATTTGGAGAGGATATTGGGTGAAGTTCTGTAATTGCTGGTTTGAATTACATTTGAGTTCTTAGTTGAACATGTTGGTTCTAATGTTATTTTTTCCAGATTATTTCACAAGAGATGACGTAACTATTATTAAATTTTGCTTGTGTTTTGTGTAATCAGAATCCAACAAGCTAGGCTATGTGTATTGTGTCAATTTGGGCAATGTTTTGTGTAAGTGGAATGCATTGATAAGTTGTGATGCAGTAATGATTGATTAATGAATTAACATTTGCTATGCAGTAATATAGAAGTAGATCAATAATATACGTGGATAAAATGTCTGGGGGCTCAGAGAGTGATGACTCTGTAATAGCTAATGGGAGGGTTTACATTCCTGAAGTAAGAAATGAGGAAACACCAGCAGTTGGGATGAAGTTCGACTCGCTTGACCTCGTTTATAATTTCTATAATAGATATGCATTCTTGGCTGGCTTTGGTATTCGACTTCATTCCAGCTTTTGGGGGAAAAATAAGAAAGAGATTCTGAGAAAAGAATTTGTATGTTGCAAACAAGGTGCATACCGGAATGATGAAACTCGGGAGAGAAAAAGACAGCGGGAATAAGTAGATGCAATTGCAAAGCTAAGATTGTGGTTGTGAAGACACATGGGAGCAAGAAGTATACCATCTCTCTTTTTGCAGAGGGACACAATCATAAGATGACACCCTCAGGAAGAATGCATTTACTGAGATCACACCGTCGTATTTCAGATTCTACAAAAGTACTTACAAAACAGTTGGGTTCGGTTAATATCCCATTAATCAGAAGGTAAGTATTTTCGAGGTGCAATCCGGAGGAATGGATAAATCGGTTTTATCAAAAAGGATATGTACAATCTTGAATGTAGTGTGAATGAGAAGCTGAGGAACCACGATGTTGAACTAGTGACCGAGTATTTTATGGCTGAACAGAAAAAAAATGAGGCTTTTTATTTCAAGATTGAGGGAGATGGCGATAACAGGTTTAGTCGATGTTTTTGGGCAGATGCAACTTCTAGACGGGCGTACGGGTTTTATGGAGATGTTGTTGTATTTGATACCACATTCAACACGAATAGATACGACTTGACATTTGCACCCAATGTTGGGAGTTAATAACCATGGTCAAACATTGTCCTAGCATGCGCATTTTTGAGCAAGGAAACGACTGAGTCGTTTATTTGGATGTTTGAGGAGTTTAAGAAAGCCATGCCAGGTGGCGAACCTAAAACGATCATCACAGATCAAGATGCGGCAATGAGCAGAGCGATTTCAATAGCCTTCCCGACTACATTTCATCGACTTTGCATATGGCACATCACATCAAAGTTCTCTGTTAAGTTACCACATTCTGCTTATAAGGAGTATTGGGGTGAATTCCAGAAAGCCATATGGGATACTGACAATAAGGATGAGTTTGATGCAAAATGGAATATTGTGGTTACAAAGGCTGGTTTGACTGACCATCCATGGGTAAGTTCAATGTTTGATTTAAGGGAATCTTGGGTTCCAGCCTACGCACGACACTTTTTTGCCGCTGGAATGTCAAGCAGCCAAAGAGCTGAATGTTCTCATGGTTTCTTCAAGCAATACATATCAAGGAAAATTCGTTGATGGATTTCATAATAAGATTTGAGAGGGCACTTTCTCATCAACGTCAAAAAGAGTTAGTTGCTGATCACGTAGATGCATTTGAAGTGGCTCAATGTATTCTACCGATGCCAATGAACAAACAAATGGCTACCTTGTACACAAGGACAATGTTTCAAAAGTTTGAGCAAGAACTAATACAAAGTACAGCATGTTTCCTAGAGCTGAAAACAGAGGATGCTTCTAAAGTTGTCTTTAATGTGAGCGAAAGGAAAATTGGGAAACAAGAGTGGCAGAAGTCGTATATGTCAAAGATTCTGACCACGCATCGTGTAGCTGCAAAAGATTTGAATTTGTTGGAATTATTTGCAAGCACATCCTAGCATTGTTCAGAAGGGACCAGATTGAATATATGCCCGATAAATACATTTTGAAGAGGTGGAAGAAAACTGCGAAATTTGGATTGGTGTCAGATGCAAATGGCAACGAAATTAAAGACTCTGCAGATCCTGGTCTTTTAATAAAGCGGAGTACAATGTCCCGACTTGCTTCAGATGTGGTTGAGGATGCATTAATGTGTGAAGAAGGATGTGAGCTACTGTCAAAGACTCTAAAAAGTTTGCAGGTGAAGTTGAAGTTGTTGAAGGATGGACCAAGTAATAACGAAGTTGGAGGGTCCAGCTCTCAAACACAATATATGAAAGACCCTAAGAGAGTAAGGTGCAATGGAGGGTCGAAACGAGTAACGGGAGCAAAGGAAAAGGCAATGAAGCGAGGGATTAGACACTGTCGGGAGTGTGGACACATTGGTCATGATAGAAGACAATGCCCAAGAAATTTGAACACACCGTAAGATGTTAACACTATTTATAATAAGACCTAAAATTTGAATAGGTAAAGTTCTTATGTGCTTCTGTTTGATGTTTATGCAGGACATCACCGTCGAACAATGACGAATCAACTCCAATAGATCTTAGTGACCCATTATTTGACGAATTTTACAGGATGCACGGACCAACTCAATGATTTAGGTTTCTATTATACGAAGCCCGGTTATTATGAAGACTAATGATCAGGTGAAGTTTTCTAGATGCAGTTTTATTATTATTATTTTTTTGTTCATGTCCACCGATGAGCTCTGACTATGTCCATTGATAATTGAAATGAAATTTGCTTGGTTTCATTCTTGCATGAAATTTGGACACATGTTAATTTTACGTCTTCTCCCTATTTAGAAATTTTCATAGACATTAGATAAAGCATCAAATTTGATTTATGTGAAGAAGCAATGACTTTTACCTTGTAAAATGGGTAGTTTATGGTGAATTATGTTTGAATAGAGATTTATTGATTATATGACAGGCTAATGCAGCATTTCCAGCAGCCAGCTATTGTTTCCATTACCAGTAATGATTTCCAGCAGCACGCATCATTTGTAGCAGCACCCACTTTTTGCGAATGTTATGTTCTAGTGTTTTACTGGTGATTAAGATCTGAGCTGGACTGGTTATTAGGTGCACGATTTTGCAAACATTCGTAGCTGAAGGATACTTGAAGCACTTTGTTGGAACAGAAAGATTAGAAAGCAACGTGTAAAAAGTACATTGCCGCTAATCACATTTCGAATGGTTGGGTAATATTAAAGGGTACACTAACATTTGAACTACTCATAATTCCACACACAAAAGAAAATTTGATTGCAAAGCATTTTATGTGCTCCCTCTTAGCAATAGCACGATCTCCCCAATAAACTGAACAACGGTAGCCACAATCACTAGGTCGTATTGGTCAGCTTCTTCTTAGCAGGTCTCGCGTGCTTATGGTCACTCATGTCCCCAGTGATTTAGACAAAATAAATATTCAGCAATATTTGGAATTTTATTATATATACATAAACCATAAACCATTCACTACACAATGTATAGCACATGGCATTTTACTTATGACTCACGTGTCATGATAATGGGGCTTTACTGATTACCAAGGTGCTGTGATATTGACTGCTTATTGAATAATATTTCCATAGTTGCAAAATATAATGTTAGACAGAAGGAACACATGATGACTTGCAAGACATAGTCCCAATAATTATATGAAGCAAATGAAACTGATATTTGTATTATTTTATATTAGATAATGACATTAAGGGAATATAGTTCTAATTTGTGCAATACCACGATCACCCCCAACCAACAGAACAGCTGTAGCCGCAATCACTTAGTCGTATCGGTCGGCTTCTTCCGAGCAGCTTTGACGTGCTTATGCTCATTCATGTCACCACCATCGTCTAGTATCTCTCTCACAGCATCAGGGGACACATAGTCCCAATTATAACTTGTATGAGTTGTTGCCGCGAATGCTCGGAATTTTTCGAATCCTTCGTTGAATGCCAACTCCAGTTCACTGTGGTGCTCTTCGCATCGCATATGGTTCATCAAACAACCTTTAATTTCATCATTCATTACTGCATCCAACTCCTCAGCTTTCAGCTTCCTTTTATGACTCAGCTTCAAGTACTTGTTCTTTTGGGAGAACGCTTTGTTCACTCTAATGTTAAGATCAGCCAAAATGGCCTCGTCTTCAACACATTTCTCGTGCCATGAATTGATCAGTCTGGAATTATAATCCACTTGGTACTGACTGCATCTATTGCCTCTAATGGATCATCGGAGTCCCCCCTCACTCCCAAATGATGTTGAAAATGGAAGGGGTCGGCGAGTACAACGTGGAAACGGAACCTGCGACTCCAATTTTTCATCTTCGATTGTGTTGTTGGCGCCTGAAGAGGTTGACATACTTGAATAATCCTATTTGTTTTGGAGGATGAGGATTGCAGATGCAATTTCGTTTGAGAAATGGAACATAGCTTTATAGACCAACATACCAAAGCTTGCGTGTAGTCAACATATCTACTTTATTTCAATTTTAAAAAAGAGGTGTCAGGTTTTGCTTTTCAAGCATGTCAACCTCACACTCTCCTTACACCACTGTTAGTGGTTGAAAGAAACTCAATGGAAGTGACATCTAGTTAGTGAACCCAACCAAACTAAACAAACTAGTTAGGATTAAACTTAGATTGTATGAGACCTTTTTCATTTATACATTGTCAACCAAATGTTTTTTTGGCGGGAACCCTTTTTTATTGGTATTACTATCACCCCCTTCATAAAAATTCTCCCTCCACAAAAAACTCACTCCTCCACCGAATCTGTCTCCATCTACTGAAACTCTCTCCTCCACAGAAACTCTCTCCCCCCATTGAATGGATTTACTAACCAAGTTTGATGTGAGCGTAATAAACACCCCTCCAAACAAAGACCGCCTTCGAAACGCAAGTGAGTCACCAGACAAGCAATGTCACTTTCCTAGACAGAATGACCATTTTGTTGGAAGTTTTGAGTCTGAAAGAGTTCTTGCTTTCTGGAAGGAGAGGCATCTTCAACTTGGTGATGAAATCCAAAGGGCAAGGGTACGTTTGGAATTTGTTGAAGGCCAAATTGAAGATGACAAAAGGCAGGCCAATCTGGATAGGGCGAAGTTGCAGCGCATGAAGCGTAGACACAAACGACTTCGGAGTGTAGCTGTTCAAAAATACAAGAACTCATCTAATGCAAAGGAGTCAAAGAAGCGTGTGATGCAAGCTGGATTCGACTACTTCCGGTCCTATGCAAAACTCGTCGTACCCGGGTTTGATTGGTCATCTATTACCTTTCCGACGTTAACAAATATACTCAGCAAGGGAAGTGACCATTTTGGTTATCGTGTTTGAGTAGAGGCAAATCAGAGGAACTGGAATTTTCGTTAAGCTCTGCTTCAAACCTATTTTGATGCTTACTACTATAGAAGATTTCAACCTTCATATTTTCATGTCTTTAATTACGATAACACGATGCAAAGTGCCCATCTACTTCAGTCATATGTTGCTGCCATGTCCATTTTTTTGTGATCACGTATCAGATTTGGACATGGTTGCATCATATGCAATGTTGCCTTTATGTATTATATGTTAGGGTAAGGTTTATGGAAAAGCATGTGTGACTGGTTTTGTGACAAGGTTATGGCATTATTTTGTACCAATTATATATTGTTTTTTGTACTGGTTCATCTCCTACTATTGCTTTATTTCTTTATATTATATGTTTATGCGATTGGACATGATAGAAAATATATTACTGATTCCCAATGCGGCGTCATAAGGACAACTTATTGAATACCGCCGACGTGTTGAAAACTCTAGGTGCAGGTGCATATGGACAACTTATTGACTATCTCTGACGTCTTCAAAGCTCTAGGCGCATGCGCAGTTCCAATTATGGCTTCCAAGTAGTGGTGCATTTATTATATATGTACATTATTATAACCAAAACAGATAATTTTACATCCTTATATATGAAAGGAAACTAATTCTTGTATTAGTACAAATTATATAACGAATATTAAGGAAATATATTTGTTAAAGTGAACAACATATATACTTAGGGTTAAGAGGAAAGTGAGTTATGTAAATCATTTTTGAATTTTTAATTGCGAAATGGATGATCTATGGGTTCCCCTCGTTTTATAACGTCACACGGAGGCCGGAGTATTTTCGGGGCATTTTTAGGATTTTTCTACTATTTATTGCATTTTTTCAAAGATTTTTGCACTAAAAAAGCCAAAATAATTGCCAAATGGACACCTGGCGCGATCTCAGCCCCTCACCTTTCACCCCTTGCCAAGTGTGCGTCAGTCAACATGGCCACATCCTTACCTTTTACCCTAAATTATTATTTTATGATTTTTTCTTAGAAAATTCATAACTAAATACACAAAAATCAGAAAAATGATCCGAAAATTGCTACGACCTCATTGACACTCCATCTCCCTTGCTGAATTCCCCGATTAGTGGTTACGCATTTTAAAAAACTCTGAACATTAACGGGAGATGCTTGTTGAAGTAGGTTATTGAAGTTAAAGTGAACAACATATATACTTAGGGTTAAGAGGAAAGTGAGTTATGTAAATCATTTTTGAATTTTTAATTGCGAAATGGATGATCTATGGGGTTCCCCTCGTTTTATAACGTCACACGGAGGCCGGAGTATTTTTCGGGGCATTTTTAGGATTTTTCTACTATTTATTGCATTTTTTCAAAGATTTTTGCACTAAAAAAGCCAAAATAATTGCCAAATGGACACCTGGCGCGATCTCAGCCCCTCACCTTTCACCCCTTGACAAGTGTGCGTCAGTCAACATGGCCACATCCTTACCTTTTACCCTAAATTATTATTTTATGACTTTTTCTTAGAAAATTCATAACTAAATACACAAAAATCACAATAATGTTCCGAAAATTGCTACGACCTCATTGAGACTTCATCTTCCTCCTGAATTCCCTGTTTCATGGTTACGCTACATTAGTATTTATTATTATTTATCCAAAATTATTTTTATTATTATTGTTATATTACTTGTTAGCTTGTACATTTGTTAATTATATTTACTCCAAATTTTTAATTTTATTTTTATTTTCCGTGTGAATAGACCATTTCTGGTGCTAATCAGTTTCTCTCTTCTTCAATTTGTTAATGTTTTTTCTTTTTTAGGTGTAAGGGATGTTTTCAAACATAAAATGGAAATATACAAGCCATCCATTCTACAACATCAGGAAATAATTATTCAAAGTCTTTCACTGTTCAAGTTTTGCTTAAGAAACGTGTAACCCAATCATTTGGGATATGCTAAGTGGGAAAATGTCATTCCCAAGAACCGGTGAAAAGACACATACTCACTTCATGCATGCGTTTTCGTTTACCAAAATTAAGATTGCAGTTGTGCAAAATATCTGTGTCAGTAAAATGTCATTCTTAGCCGTCAATTATGTCAGTAATAATTCCACTATATAGCAAATATTATACATTTATATATAAAACGGGCTAGGACAGCACAAACACCAGACAAAATAGATTAAAACATGAAATAGAAAACAACATTTGTAGAACATAGACACGCATAAAAACCGTAGAAACATACTCCAACTAATTATAAGGGTATGGGATTCCCTGGCACAACATAGACACGCATCACCTTGAACCAAAAAACACTCTCACGGTGCCATTTGCATCGATTGCAACAAGTCCAGAAGGCAGGATTGATCTTTTCTTCACTAGGCCAGCTGGAATAACAAAACACCAGTCGTTGTTGTTACAAGCGCTGCACTGATTGAACTTAATCTTCCCATAGTGAAACATATCTACGATATGTCTTCCAACAGAGAAAATTCCGCTTAATCGTCGTCTCAAAGCATCCCTGGTTCCTTTCATATCAATGTTGTTACGTTGATTCAAAGAACACAAGAATTCTAATGCATCCTCTTTTGACTGACCAATTCCGGACATGCCAAGTAGTCCAACTAGATATGACGCTTCCATATGGCCTGCCGTGGCTGCAACGCGCATCCCAGACAATGCTTCCACATTACCCTGCCTGAAAAACATGTCGAACGCTTCTCTAAATATCGCCTCAGGGTTGGCAAGCCCTGCATTGGTCCACGAAATGCCGGACCTGCGTTGCGGCATAGTACCAGTTAGGATGGTCTTGGTACTTTTCCATTGAAATTGTGTTCCACACTTGTGGAGTGTTTGCCAACGTATTGAACAATTGGCACACACATGCCATACGAAAGAGATCTTCCGAGGAGTTGGTTGCCACGTATAACATCACTTTAAACCAAGCTAATTCCGGGATGAAGGCTTGAGGCCATCCGGATCGAGATGCTTCCTTCTCTTTCCTCCGACTGTAGTGTAATGTTTGGAATTCATTGAAAATTTTTGGAATGGAACGATTTGAGGACTGCAAGAGGGGAGAAATGAGAATATACGGGGTTTTGGGTTTGTTTTAGCCTCTGTTTGCACTGTTCTGAAAAGGTGTTTCCTTGGGGTTTTACCAAGTTGACCCTTTTTAAAGAAACTGAACTCAACACCCAAAACATAAGACAGGCGAAGGGAAAACGTCATCAAAATGCAAAGGGAGTCAGACCGTCCAAAAGTCAATTAATAACCTATTTCCATAGCCATTGTTAGGCTTTTCCCGCCATTAAATTCATTGATACAAATGTGATGGATTACTGACTAGTGACAGAAGGTCCCATCAGATACTTTTTCATTTTCCCACACCACACTACCCCTATTAAATGACGGATTCTTATCCAACTAGTTGCCTTAATGAAATATAAAGAAAATAATATATTTAAAGCAGTGTCCCTCAATTGTAAGATTAATTGGTAGTGAAAATAGTATATCGCTTATCGGAGTAAAATGTGTCACAATTCTGACGGTACAGGTGTCCAGATCGTGACCAACCCACCCACACACAGAAAAGAAGGATATAATTCGATTTGGGCAGAGATGAGAGAGAGCTGAGTGAGAAGTTTAGGGTTATGACTTATGAGTGAAGGGGTATAACTGAGAAGGTATGAGTCCGAAGAGGTTTTAGTGAGAAGATCTGAGTGAGAAGAGGTACAAGTGATAAGATTCAACATGTCTTCGTCTTCATCTCCCGCTCAAACAAAGAGGTGTCAGTATTGTGGAGCTGCAATGGTGCTTCGGGTTTCAAAATCAGATAAAAATCGAGGGAAGCCATTTTGGAAGTGTCTAACCTCCTATGTAAGTTCTCATTTCCAGAATATGTATGTGGGTGAAAAAAAATCCTAGGTCTAACTCTGACAGAATTATTTTGCATATATGATGCCTGCAATTAGGGAGCCACCAATTGCAATGGATTCGAATGGGTTGATGTAACCTCCGCTGAAGCAGATCAGCAAGCTGACACGTATGATGCTACAGTGCTTAATATGCTGAAGTCCATTAAGGACTTGGTATTAGTTTTATTAGTTGTATCAATTGTCATATTATTTGTTCTTTTAATGACCAATTAAGTGCACGGTTTCAAGGATTGTAAAAGTTCTCCCCAAAAACACATGTTGCACGCACCACCAATGACTTTTCAAACCCAATTTGTAATTTTTGTTATTGAAATAGGTGGATTAGCATTGAGTTTAAATTATTGTTTGAAACAAAAGCATTTACTTGTCAGAAACCCAGTAAAAACTTTCCTAGACTTACTTTACAAAAATAAAGTCATACGAAGACGATAAAATGACAATACAGGGCCAATACGATGCAATAATAAGACAATACCTTTTTTTTAAGATTGCATAATTATTCAGTGTATATAGATTGTTTATTGATTGTTTACTGCATGTAAATCGCATGATATTGACTGTTTATTGAAGGTTCATTAACTGCATGTATTTCGCATGTTATACTCCGATATTGAGTGTTTATTGAAGGTTTACATGTTTTCGTGAAGGTTTCATGATTGTTAACTGCATGTATTTCACATGTTATTGAACCGATATTGAAGGTTTATTGAAAGTTGATTGAGTGTTTACTGCATGTATATCGCATGTTATTGCTCCAATATTGCATGTTTATTGGGGGCAAAAGTAGGACTCCAGTTAGATTTAAGGGGGGAAACGGTCCTTATTCTTTGTTTTCGTAGGAAGAACAACTTAAGTAGAATTTCCTATTCAATACGACTTCCTTATGGTTGATGTAATTGGGGACTGATGTATATTGCATGTCTATTGCGTATATTTCATATCTATTGCGTGTATATTGCTTGTCTGTTGCCTGTGTATTGTTATTTATTTCCGTCGTAAGCAATACAAATCAATACAGACGCAATAAATGTAAAGATATGCACGCAATAGACAAGCAACAAAAAAAAAAAAAAAAAAAAAAAAAAAAAAAAAAAAAAAAAAAAAAAAAAAAAAAAAAAAAAAAAAAAAAAAAAAAAAAAAAAAAAAAAAAAAAAAAAAAAAAAAAAAAAAAAAAAAAAAAAAAAAAAAAAAAAAAAAAAAAAAAAAAAAAAAAAAAAAAAAAAAAAAAAAAAAAAAAAAAAAAAAAAAAAAAAAAAAAAAAAAAAAAAAAAAAAAAAAAAAAAAAAAAAAAAAAAAAAAAAAAAAAAAAAAAAAAAAAAAAAAAAAAAAAAAAAAAAAAAAAAAAAAAAAAAAAAAAAAAAAAAAAAAAAAAAAAAAAAAAAAAAAAAAAAAAAAAAAAAAAAAAAAAAAAAAAAAAAAAAAAAAAAAAAAAAAAAAAAAAAAAAAAAATGTTAATATGTTAACTCGCAATTGTACGGGCCAATTAGTAATATAGCAAGACAAGTACGAGGTCGTACCCACGAGGACTGAGAAGTTAAAATTAGTTATGTACTTAGATTACCAAATTCAAGAAAGTAGGAGGTTAAGTCTAAAATAGAATTTAAAGCAAGAGTGATTGTAATTGTTGAACAAATGAGGCAAAACGAAATTTCAAACAAAAGCAAAGTGAGCAAATGTAACAAAGAGTGTTTTTGTGGGCTGGAAAACAGATTGGGAGACTAGGGCATTCGATTCACCATAACAATTCAATTCTAGTTATAAGGAGTCAAGTGACAAGTCTAATTCAGATTCAAAGATTGATTCTAGCTAAAGTATGATTAGGCCATGGTGTCTGGTCCTAACCTTGTGTTCCTAATTCCCTAACTTGATCATTTGTTGTCTAACCTAAATTAAGCATTAGGAACTCATTAAGCATAGAAGAACAATTTAAACAACCAAGCATGTATCTGATCCCTGTTGTCGAATGTCCATACATACTTTTCTTATTCATAGTTCAATTCGAATCAAAGCATGGTGTCTACTCTTGATTCAAACCAAGATAGCTAATATACAAGTTCTAATGGTGATCAATCATCCAAACAAGCATATTAACTGATAAGCATAATGAATAAGAACATGAATCATGAATCAAACTTGAAACTCAAAACTTCAACTTATAAACCCAGAATATTCATGTTAGGTTACACCGAAGTCCTAGTTATGAATTTAGCTACTCATAATGGAAATGAAACTTAAACAGAAATGAGAAAACATAATGAATGTAATAAGAGTGGAAAAACCCATTTCTGAAGTTACTTGTGGTGTCCAAGGCTTCTCCAAGTGCTTCTCCACACCTAATGCTGCTCCAAGAGCTTCCTCACATCTAGAGTATGGCAACTAAAGAGGTGATTTGGGATGAGTTTGGGTGAGTGGTGATGGCAGAGAAAGAGGAAATTCGTAGGGAAATGGAAGGAAGGCTTGTTGGAGCTGTTTTGGTGATTTGGGGCTGAATGGAGTGTTTGGGGAAGGATGGGAGTGTTAGAGGATGGCTGAAGTGAATTTTAGGCTGAATGGAGTGACTTCCTTTGAATGAGTGTGCATCACTCAATTTATAGAGTGCAAATTCGTGCTCCCCCTTTGGCTGGTGAAGCACACCCATTAGGTTCCCATGCTGCTGATTTGATGTGTAGCCCATGCCTCTAGGAATGTCAGCTGCCCATGCCTTCTGAGTTTCCATGCTGTCTGATTTGATGTGTAGCCCATGCCTCTAGGAATGTCAGCTGCCCATGCCTTCTGAGTTTCCATGCTGTCTTGTCAGCACATGGCTCAACAGCTAGCAGTTGCATTCCTGAGCATGGTGTGCATTTTGATGGGCTCACGGATTGGGCTTGACTTAATCAATTGATACATTTGAGTTGTCCATCTTGAAGTTCAGACTCTCATCTTTCCAAGCACATATTACATGGGCCAATCAAAGTTGGGAGAAAGACGTTAAGGCCGAAATGAGTTGCCAACCCAGTCTGCTCGTTTTTGCACCATTTTGCATCTTTTCTTATCCAAAGGCACCATTGCTACCTAAGGCTCCATGAACTGAATGATAAACAGAAAAGGGATTAAAAGCAAACGTTTGACTCAATAACATAACCAAATCATAAGTTAGAAGGGTACAAAATGATATGCAATTGTGAACTGATCAAATACCCCCAGACCTAGATTTTGCTAGTCCTCGAGCAAAACAAAAGAAAACAAAGTTAAAAACAAAACAAGAAGTTTAACTAAACCACTTCTGTGGGTAACTCGATTGCATTGAGCATATGCAACAAGCCTTTAAACCTCTAGGCATCCCTAGTAGGAGGAGTTGTGTCTCCTGAGGGTTTAACAGAAACGATACCCACAAACGCTTTACTGACTCTACAAAACAAAAGGTTAGAAAACTAACTTTGAAAACGACTAATGAAAATGAAAGAAAACTTTAATCATACCTCCAACACCAGAGAGTTGCCAAGATAGATGATCAATAAGTGTGTAAAGTGGAAGCTATAGCTCAAAGGCACACGGCTTCAAAGTAAACATACTCAAATCTTGAAGGAAGAACATGCTTCAACTCTAATTCTCACATATAGCACTCAATCACTCAGAACCTATGGTTTTATTCTCTCAAACAAGCATAAGTGAGTATATGAAATAGAAGCAGGATATTTGGTTAGATCTCATGAAGGGAATCAAATACTAAGAATAGAGATACACACATACATACCAGCACCCATGAATACATCCTCAAAGATCAGCTAGGTCTTTCACAAGGTTGTAATGAATGGCTAAGGTTAGGGGAAATGGAAGAGTTGGAAAGAACACAATTAACTTAAGAACATACCAAGGTTGCATTCTTCATTGATCTGCAAGGTATCATTGATTTAGAATGATATGGCTGCAACTTCATAGCATCATCTGGCATAGACCTTATATTTCACATTTAGATCAAATCGAAACACTTTCTCCGAAACACTTTCTCTTTATCTTTCTTATTTGCTGACTTGATCTACTTCTTCTTTAACTTCATTGCACAGATTCACACCAATTTACATTTAGGCATGTGGCAGCAACTTCCTTGCTTCAAACTTTATCTTGGCACACCTTGGTATATTTCTAAGCTATAGGGTATGGCTATAATAGGTTAAATATCTCAGATTGAGATACAAGGTTAGGGGAATTATGAGGGTGATAGAAGAAAAAGGCTTGAAGTGTTTGGCTGCAAGAGAGCTGATGGAACACACGAATGGGTAGGGTGAAAAGAAAGCACAGAGAATGGTTATACACACATAGCCTAGCATCACTTCAATGAGTTCATTCATGAATGACAGCACGCACCTGATATCTGCAAAGAGAATCATCCTCAGTATTCAATCAAAATGGAACAATGAGATCATTTAGAGTGAATTGAAGAAAATAAGTAGAGATGAGGAATAGAAACACTTTAAACCCTCTCAAGAATGCAATTAGGCTCGAAATAGCTCACTAGGGTAGTCTCCACTATTCTCCTTCAAGAATCTGAGCATGGTACCTTAGCCACCAGAATTCTAAGAGCAAAAGCTTTGTGAAGTGTAACATTTCTGATATGAAAATCTCAATGGCAGCTCCATAGCATTGATTGTATGAAATTCAAAAAATAAAAATAAAAATAAAAAGTGACAAGAGGACGAAAATTGTAAACACAAATGAACAAAAATTGAAAACCTCCCCCCCCAGACCTGAATTGAACATTGTCCTCAATGTTAAAGCATAACAAAGATGAGTGAGAACATGTAAATAATAAGAGGAAAGTTTAAGACCAAGGATTAGAGAAACTCCCTCTTGATGCGATTAGGTCGACCGCTAACAAGCACCTTATTCTTCAACACATGGGTTGCCTCCCAAGAAGCGCCTTAGTTAATGTCTTGGCAAGACATTATGCAATTAGCTAACTTGATTGTACAAATGGAAGATGATCCACCACATGACCAGTTTGAATTCCAACTGACACTCCCTCATAGAATGGCTTTAAACGTTGTCCATTTACTTTGAAAGTCGAGCCATCTTTAGGGTTTTGAATCTCCACAGCTCCATAGGGAGAAACATTGACCACGGTGAATGGGCCAAGCCACCTAGACTTCAATTTTCCTGGAAAGAGACGCAAACGTGAGTTAAACAAAAGAACTGACATACCTTTGATGAACTCTTTCCGTTGAATGTTCCTGTCATGGTAACTCTTGGTTCGTTCTTTGTAAAGCCTTGCATTCTCATAGGACTCATGTCTAATTTCTTCCAATTCATTGAGCTGAAACTTTCTAACATGGCCGGCCTTGTCCAGATCAAAATTCAACTTCTTGATGGCCCAAAAAGCATTGTGTTCAAGCTCCATTGGCAAGTGACAGGCTTTCCCAAACACAAGACGATAAGGGCTCATTCCGATGGGAGTCTTATATGCAGTCCTATAAGCCCATAATGCATCATTGAGCTTGGCAGCCCAATCTTTCCTTGTACTATTCACCACCTTCTCTAGGATGTGCTTAATTTCTCTGTTGCTTATTTCTACTTGACCAGAAGTTTGAGGATGATATGGTGTAGAGACTCGGTGGGTGATGTTGTACTTCTTCATGAGTGCTTCAAATGGCTTGTTGCAGAAGTGGCTGCCTCCATCACTAATGACAGCCCTTGGAGTACCAAACCTTGTGAAAATATTGTCCCTTAGGAACTTCAGCACCACCTTATGATCATTGGTTTTGGTGGCTATGGCTTCCACCCATTTAGACACATAATCAACAGCAACAAGTATGTAGGTATATCCAAAGGAAGATGGGAATGGTCCCATGAAATCAATACCCCATACATCGAAGAGTTCCACAAAGAGTATGTTCTTCAATGGCATTTCGTTCCTGCGGCTTATGTTTCCCATCCTTTGACACCTATCACACTTAACACAAAAATTAAATGCATCTTTGAATAGAGTAGGCCAAAAGAAACCTGATTGCAAAATTTTAAGTGCTGTTTTCTTAGCTCCAAAGTGGCCTCCACAAGCCAATTCGTGGCTATGCCTAAGGATGCTTTCTTGTTCTTCTTCTGGAACACATCTTCTAATGAGTTGATCTGGGCAATGCTTGAATAAGAAAGGTTCATCCCAGACATAATGTTTCACCATGGAAAAAAACTTCTTTTTGTCCTGATAAGTTAGATCATTTCTAAGAACACCACAAGCAAGATAATTAACAAAATCAGCATACCATGGCTCTTTGACTTGGGCAACAAATAGCTGTTCATCTGGGAAAGTCTCATTCAAGGGTAGTACAGCTTCTCCTTGCTCTTCAACCACAATTCTGCTCAAATGGTCAGCCACCACATTTTCACATCCCTTCTTGTCTCGAATCTCCAAATCGAACTCTTGCAGCAAGAGAATCCATCTGATCAAGCGTGGTTTGGCGTCCTTCTTAGTGAGCAAGTATCTAAGAGCAGCATGGTCAGAATAAACAATTACTTTAGAACCAACAAGGTAAGAACGAAATTTTTCTAAAGCAAAAACCACAGCAAGCAACTCCTTCTCTGTTGTGGAGTAATTGAGTTGGGCATCACTCAAGGTCCGGCTCGCATAATGAATCACATGGGGAAGCTTGTTCTTCTTTTGACCTAGAACTGCACCAATAGCAAAGTCAGAGGCATCACACATTATTTCAAATGGTAAAGACCAATCTGGAGCTATGATAATAGGGGCTGAAGTTAGCTCTTTCTTCAAGGTCGTAAAAGCTTCCATGCAAGTTTCGTCAAACTCAAAAACAGCATCCTTAGCAAGGAGATTACACAATGGTCTTGAAATGCTCGAAAAATTTTTGATGAACCTTCTATAGAATCCGGCATGGCCCAGAAAGCTTCTAACTCTTTTAACAGAGGAAGGGGGTGGTAGATTTGAGATGATATTTATCTTGGCTTTGTCCACTTCAATTCCCTTGCTTGAAACAACATGGCCTAGCACAATTCCTTGTCTTACCATGAAGTGACACTTCTCCCAATTCAAAATCAGATTTGTTTCCTGACATCTTTTAAGCACTAGAGACAAGTGGTGAAGACAATCATCAAAAGATGAACCAAAAACTGAAAAATCATCCATAAATACCTCCATGAATCGTTCCACCATATCAGAAAAGATTGCCATCATGCATCTTTGGAAAGTTGCTGGAGCATTGCACAAACCAAATGGCATCCTTCTATAAGCAAACGTACCAAATGGGCATGTGAATGTGGTTTTCTCCTGGTCTTCCGGAGCAATGGGAATTTGATTATAACCTGAAAATCCATCAAGAAAACAGTAGTAAGCATGGCCAGATAAACGGTCAAGCATTTGATCAATGAAAGGCAAGGGAAAATGATCTTTTCTTGTGGATGTGTTCAACTTCCTGTAATCAATGCAAACTCTCCAACCGGTGATAGTTCGTGTTGGAACTAGCTCATTCTTCTCATTCTTTACAACGGTGATTCCGGACTTCTTTGGAACAACTTGCACAGGACTCACCCACTTAGAATCTGAAATTGGGTAGATGATTCCCACATCAAGTAGCTTTAAAACTTCAGCCCTAACCACCTCTTTCATGTTGGGATTTAGCCTTCTTTGTGCATCACGAGATGGTTTGCTGTCTTCTTCCATTAAAATTCGGTGCATGCACATGCTTGGACTAATTCCTTTGATGTCTGCTATGGTCCATCCAAGGGCTGTTTTATGCTCTTTCAGAACTTCAATTAAGCTGTCCTCTTCATGTGAGGTGAGACCTGCAGCAATTATAACAGGGAGTGTTTCATTAGCACCCAAATAAGTATGTTTAAGATGATTGGGTAGAGGTTTAAGTTCTAGCTTTGGTGGGGTAATAATGGATGGCTCCAATTTTGTGGAGGATGGTCCAAGAGGCTCGAGCGGTGGCCTAAAGGATGGTGGGTATGGCTGAAACACTTCTAAGGCAGCCATCACCTCTTGGAACTCTGATTCATAGAGATCTTCCTCTTCTTGTGTTAGGACAGCTTCTAGAGCATCATTAGACTTTTTCTGCACAATTTTAGAAGAAACCTCATGATCCACAACATCAATTGAAAAACAAGTATCAAGAGTGATAGAAGGTTGAGAGAGAGCATCAAACACTTTAAATTCAACAGTTTCACCCAAAACAGTCATGGAGAGGGTGCCATCTTTCACTTTGATGATTGTGTCTGCAGTGGCCATGAATGGTCGCCCGAGGAGAATGGGATCAACGCGGTTTCCATATGGGTTATCCTCCATATCCATCACTACAAAATCAGCCGGAAGAATGAGTGTATTAACTTGAACTAAAATATCTTCTACAATACCTTTAGGATATTTGATAGAATGATCAGCTAGTTCAAGACGAATTGAGGTTTTCTTTATCCCTTCTAAGCCAAGCTCCTGATAAACTGAATATGGCATTACATTGATGCTTGCTCCCAAGTCCAACATGGCTCTTCCAACCGTCTTATCTCCGATGTTAATGGGAATGTCAAAGCTGCCAGGATCTTCTAGTTTTGGTGGAAGCTTCCTTTGCAACACAGCACTCACATTCTTGTTGAGCTTTACTTCTTCACTTGGAGCAAAATTAAGCTTGTGAGTCATCAAGTGCTTGATGAACTTTCCATATGCAGGAATCTGTTTAACAACATCAAGCAAGGGCAAATTGATATTAACTTTACTCAAAATATCATAAATCTCTTTAAAAGCCTTATCTTGATTTGCCTTCTTCAAACGGCCTGGAAATGGAATCGGTGGAATATATGGAGGAGGTGGGATGTATCTATCTTGATGAAGATGCGATGGCACAAATTTGTCATCTCTTTTATGCAATTGAAATGGATTGGGTTCCTGAGAATCAGATTTGGCCTTAGGAGCAGATTGGGACGTTTTGGGTTGTTCTCCATCCATAGCTGTGGTTTCCTCTTCATCTTCATCCTCTACAACCACAACATCATTTGATAGATCAGAACCAACTTTGTTATCAACAATCTTACCTGATCTGAGCACATGAACGGCCTTGGCTTCTTGGTTTTTTGGATTGATCACGGTTTGGCTTGGCCATTTCCCAGGTTCTCTTTGAGCTATTTCAGTAGCTATCTGGCCTAATTGGACTTCCAACTTGGAGATGGCAGCTTGTGTAGTTTGCTGGAAATTGGATTGGTTGATTGCCATTTGCTTCACTATATCCTCCAACGATGATGATTGTTGTGGCCTTTGGAGTGAAGGGGGATTCGCTTGATTCTGTGTATTCCTCCATGAAAAGTTTGGATGATTCCTCCAACCTGGATTATAACTTTGAGAATATGGATCATTTATTGGACCTCGGTTGTAGGAATTCACCAACTTAGCTTGCTCTTGCACAAATTCTGGATATGCAGCCCCAAGGGGACAAGAAATGGTAGGATGATCATGAGTTTCACAGATGCTACACACTTCCTTTGAAGGGTTTCTTGAGTTCAATGCAAGGAGGGCATCAAGCTTTTTGTTCCAATTTGGAAATCTGCACACTGGAAGAATCATTAGAACCACCAGCAATACGTTTACCTCTTGTATCGGTGTGTTGGGTCTCCATTGCTATCTCCTCAAAGAGTTCATATGTTTCTTCTGGAGTCTTAGTCTTATAAGAACCACCTGCAAAATTAGTGACAATATTATGGCTAGAGGGGGTTAGTCCTTTATAAAACATACGCATCTGAAGCTTCAATGGAATCCCATGATGAGGACATTGATTGAGCAGCCCATTGAATCTCTCCCATGCTTCACAAAATGACTCATCATCTTGTTGTGCAAATAGTAAGATCTTGTCCCTAAGCATGTCGGTTTTTTGCGTGGAGAAGTATTTTTCTAAGAACTTCTTTTGAATGGCTCCCCAAGTCGTGAGTGAACCAGGCTTCAAAGAATTCAACCAATATTTCGCCTTGTCTTTCAAAGTGTAAGGAAACACTCTCATTCGAAGTTGATCTTCCGTCACACCTGTCAAGGGAAAAGAGCTCACAGCATTAAAAATATCCTTTATATGGGTTAATGGATCTTCATTAGGTAAACCATAAAAGGAAGGCAACATATTAAGATGAGAAGATTTAAGCTCATAGTTTCGAGCTGCGGTGGGCAGCAAGATGCTTGAAGGGGATGCTGGAATTGTTGGGATATCAAGGTCTCCCATGAACTCATTGGCAGCCATCTCTTCTTCTTCTTCTTGGTCTGAACTTGATTCCGAATTTGAAGGTGAAGAACCTGGGAGGTCAGTGTGGATAGCAAGACCTTCAAATGTGGCAATGGCTTGCTCTTTCGCAGTTGCCAACTCTCTTTCTAGACGATTCTGAATTTCAGAGATCACCCGGTTTGGTTGCAAAGATGGTCTTGTGTTCAAAGATCTCGAACGTTGGAATGAAGACCTCACTTGTTCAAGTAAGGGATTTCTAGACATAAACTACCTGAAACAGAAAATAACTTGAGTTAATTAGTACTACTAAAAGAATAGGGTAACCTTGGGCACATAACCAGGGAAGAACTTTCATTCAATCCCCGGCAACGGCGCCAAAATTTGTTGTTAATATGTTAACTCGCAATTGTACGGGCCAATTAGTAATATAGCAAGACAAGTACGAGGTCGTACCCACGAGGACTGAGAAGTTAAAATTAGTTATGTACTTAGATTACCAAATTCAAGAAAGTAGGAGGTTAAGTCTAAAATAGAATTTAAAGCAAGAGTGATTGTAATTGTTGAACAAATGAGGCAAAACGAAATTTCAAACAAAAGCAAAGTGAGCAAATGTAACAAAGAGTGTTTTTGTGGGCTGGAAAACAGATTGGGAGACTAGGGCATTCGATTCACCATAACAATTCAATTCTAGGTTATAAGGAGTCAAGTGACAAGTCTAATTCAGATTCAAAGATTGATTCTAGCTAAAGTATGATTAGGCCATGGTGTCTGGTCCTAACCTTGTGTTCCTAATTCCCTAACTTGATCATTTGTTGTCTAACCTAAATTAAGCATTAGGAACTCATTAAGCATAGAAGAACAATTTAAACAACCAAGCATGTATCTAATCCCTGTTGTCGAATGTCCATACATACTTTTCTTATTCATAGTTCAATTCGAATCAAAGCATGGTGTCTACTCTTGATTCAAACCAAGATAGCTAATATACAAGTTCTAATGGTGATCAATCATCCAAACAAGCATATTAACTGATAAGCATAATGAATAAGAACATGAATCATGAATCAAACTTGAAACTCAAAACTTCAACTTATAAACCCAGAATATTCATGTTAGGTTACATCGAAGTCCTAGTTATGAATTTAGCTACTCATAATGGAAATGAAACTTAAACAGAAATGAGAAAACATAATGAATGTAATAAGAGTGGAAAAACCCATTTCTGAAGTTACTTGTGGTGTCCAAGGCTTCTCCAAGTGCTTCTCCACACCTAATGCTGCTCCAAGAGCTTCCTCACATCTAGAGTATGGCAACTAAAGAGGTGATTTGGGATGAGTTTGGGTGAGTGGTGATGGCAGAGAAAGAGGAAATTCGTAGGGAAATGGAAGGAAGGCTTGTTGGAGCTGTTTTGGTGATTTGGGGCTGAATGGAGTGTTTGGGGAAGGATGGGAGTGTTAGAGGATGGCTGAAGTGAATTTTAGGCTGAATGGAGTGACCCTCCCTTTGAATGAGTGTGCATCACTCTATTTATAGAGTGCAAATTCGTGCTCCCCCTTTGGCTGGTGAAGCACACCCATTCCTAGCTGTTCCCATTTGTCTGAGCTGCCCATTAGGTTCCCATGCTGCTGATTTGATGTGTAGCCCATGCCTCTAGGAATGTCAGCTGCCCATGCCTTCTGAGTTTCCATGCTGTTGATTTGATGTGTAGCCCATGCCTCTAGGAATGTCAGTTGCCCATGCCTTCTGAGTTTCCATGCTGTCTTGTCAGCACATGGCTCAACAGCTAGCAGTTGCATTCCTGAGCATGGTGTGCATTTTGATGGGCTCACGGATTGGGCTTGACTTAATCAATTGATACATTTGAGTTGTCCATCTTGAAGTTCAGACTCTCATCTTTCCAAGCACATATTACATGGGCCAATCAAAGTTGGGAGAAAGACGTTAAGGCCCAAATGAGTTGCCAACCCAGTCTGCTCGTTTTTGCACCATTTTGCATCTTTTCTTATCCAAAGGCACCATTGCTACCTAAGGCTCCATGAACTGAATGATAAACAGAAAAGGGATTAAAAGCAAACGTTTGACTCAATAACATAACCAAATCATAAGTTAGAAGGGTACAAAATGATATGCAATTGTGAACTGATCAGGACAATCTTGTTTGCAAGTTACATAAATCGCTCTACAGACTTAAGTAGGCTTCTAGGCAATGGTTGCCAAATTTTCATAGGTCATTCTTGACTTTGGTTACATTCAATCCAAAGCCAACTACTCTATGTTTTATAAACATAAAGGAATCCCCTCAATGTTTATACTAGTGTATGTCGATGACGTAATTATTACAAGTTTATATGCAAGTGAGATTTCCAAGCTTAAGAACTTCCTACATCAGCGATTCAAGCTAAAAGACTTAGGCAACCTCAAATATTTCATTGGGATTGAGGTGTCAGAATCACAAAGAGGCATTTGTTTCAACCAACGACAATATCCTTTAGATATTATCAATATGTAGGTTTATTGGGAGCTAAACCTGAGCCTTTTCCCGTGGAAGAAAATCTAAAGCTCAACAATGTTGATCCATCTACTCAATAATCTAGCCTCATATCGTCGCTTGATTAGAAGACTTATTATCTAACTGTTACAAGACTAGATATTCTTTTTGTAGTTAATATCTTCAGCCGATTCATTTACCAACCACACCAACCCCATATGAAAGCTGCCACACGTTTAATTCATTACTTAAAGGGATCACCTGATCAAGGTATTCTATTATCCTCTCATAATGAATTAAAATTGTGAGCTTTTTATGACTCAGATTGGGTAAGTTGCCCCATGACAAGAAGATCAACAACGGGTTATTGTGTGTTTCTCGGAACAAGTCCAATTTCATGGAAAACCAAAAAATAATCCACTGCATATAGGTCCTCATCAGAAGCTGAGTATATCATGAGCGAACCAAACACATTGAAATTTATTGCCATGTTGTTCGTGAAAGAATTCAAGACAGGACATTACGTACTGCATTCCTTCCTTTTAGAGATCAAATTATAGATATCTTTACAAAAGCATTGGGCAAGGAAACTTTCCTACGATTAAAAAGCAAGTTAAATCTTTTAGACATACACGCTCCAACTTGAAGGGGAGTGTTAGAAATCAAGGCTTAATTGAAGGAAGACTTTAGATTGAAGTTAACGTTGTATAGCTGTCTTACTTGAACAAAAACTATTTTCCTTTTATGTGTAATTACCTTAGACATATGATATGGAGATTTCTTTCCCTTTGTATTCCTTAAGCTTTGTTATATATCTTTAATCTTTGTACATTGATCAATACAGGAAACATTCACCATATTTTCTTATAATAATAGTGCAGATTTTAGAATTCAAGATTAGTGCTTGGGTTTCTCTGTTTTTTAGGACAAAACCACAAATTTTTAGGGTCTAGTACTCCAATCCAAATGTTCAATGAAGGTAGCTAATTCTATTAAGTGATCGTCTGAGAGAGAGTTTTTGAGAGTTGGAAAGTGGAGGATTTATGCTAATTGTACCTAGCTTTTGACTCAGTTGTTATGTTTTCTTGTATAGCTTTTCCTTTCCTTGTTAACTGGTTTTATGTCTATTTAGAGATGGATGAAGTTTCTTTGAACACTGAGCCAACAGGCGATGATGATGATGATGAATTTGAGATTAAAGGAGACTGTGCAATGACAGATTTTATCAATCAAATTGGCATTATTCAAGGAGAGAACCTTCTCCCTGCTGCTGGTGGAATGGAATTTGATTTTTATGAGGATGTGTATTACTTCTACAATTGCTATGTCAAGCAACAAGGATTTGGGGTTAGGGTGAGCAATACTTGGTATAGAAAGAGTAAGGAAAGATACAGAGGAAACTAAGCTACAGTAGTGCAGGTTTTAAAAAGAAAATTAAAGTAAATCGCCCAAGGACAGAAACTAGAGCCGGCTATCTAGCAATGATGATAAAGTTTAGGTTAATGGACTCCAACAGGTGGAGAGTTATTGAAGTTGAGATTGAGCAAAACCACTTGATTAGTCCAGCAAGTGGAAAATTTTATAAATCTCACAAGAGCGCATAGGCGGTGGAACCAAAAGAGCGTTGCAGTTAGATATTGCTAAAGAAGTACAAAAGATCAGGCTATTTAGAACAGTGATCATTGATTCTGAGGGTAATGGAAACGTAGATGTTGATGAAGGAGAATATGGTAATAGAGTTTATTACTCCAATCAATTGAAGCTTAAAGAAGGAGATGACCAAGCAGTTCAGAATTACTTTTCTCGCTTGCAATTAATGGATCCAAACTTCTTTTATGTGGCGGATCTAAATGAGAAAGGATGCTTGAGAAATTTGTTCTAGGCTGATGCGAGGACGGGGGTTGCTTACAATTATTTTTGTGATGTAGTTTCCATTGACACTACATGCTCGGATATTAAATTTGAAGTCTCGTTGGTGTCATTTATTCGAGTAAATCATCATAGACAATCTATGCTGCTGGGCTGAGGTTTACTTGCAAGCAAGACAATTGAGTCCTATACATGGTTGTTTAGAGCTTGGCTTACATGCATATTGGGACGCCCTCCACAAGCCATCATTACTTACGAAAGCAGAACATTGCAAACTGCCATTTCTGATGTTTTCCCTAGAGCTTCTCATTGTCTTTGCTTATCGCATATAATGCAATTTGGGAGGATTGTTTTGAATATGAAGCAATTAAAGAAACTTTGAATAGAACAGTTTACCACTCTCTGAGGGTGGACCAATTCGAAGCAGCTTGGGAGGATATGGTCCAGCACCATGGAACTAGAGATCTTAAATGGCTTCAAGCATTATTTGAAGAGCGGAATTAATGGGTTCCAGTATATTTGAAGGAGATATTTTTGGTAGGAATGTTCCCTGTGCAGCCAAGTAAGATTGTCTCTTCGTACTTTGAAGAACTTTTTCATAAAGATACTACTTTGAAGGAATTTTTAGATAAGTATGATCAAGTTCTGCAAACACATCATCAACTAGAAGCCTTGGTTGATTTGGTTTCAAGAAATTCGAGTTCTATGTTGAAATCAAGATACTATTTTGAGTTGCAACTCTCCAAAGAGTACACTAATGACATTCTTAGGAAGTTTGAATCGGAGGTAGAGGGAATGTATTCTTGTTTCAGCACTAGTTAGTTAAATTCTTATGGGCCAGTCGTAACATACATTGTGCAGGAACAAACTAAAGTTGATGGAAATAAGACAGAGATGAGAAACTATGAGGTTTTTCTAGAAATATGAATGAATCGAATTATTTTATTCTCCTCATTCTGAGGTATTTATAAGATGTATAAAGTATACAAAAAAGGTAAGTATATAAAGTCAACTATATTAAATAATAAACTCTAAACCTAATATATCACGCCAACACTCCCCCTCAAGTTGGTGCATAGATATCACATATGCCCAACTTGGATAGTGATTTATGGAGTTCTTTGCTAGAAACTGCATGGGTCATCATGTTGGCTAGCTAGTCTGCTCACTTGATGTGAGGCACAGTAATGATGTCATTCACAATATTATCCTTGATGAAATGTCTGTCAACCTCAATGTGTTTGGTTATGTCATGCTGGATAGGATTATTAGCAATTTCAATGGCTGATGTGTTATCACAATGCATTACCATATGTTTCTTGGGGCCAAATCCAAGTTCCTTCATTAGGATCTTCAACCAAATCAGTTCTGTCATAGCATGATGATGAGCTCCATATTTAGCTTCCGCACTAGAGAAAGACACCACCTTTTGCTTCTTGCTTCTCCAAGTTACTAGATTGCCTCCTATGAATGATGCATTACCAGATATAGACTTCTTGTCAAACTTAGATCATGCATCATCTCGAACTTCTTAGCCAAGTAACTCTGGAGTTCCTCAATCTCACATGCATTGTTTTTTGTAACCACTATGTCATCCACATATACAATTAACATAGTAATCTTATCACCACCACGCTTAATAAATAGAGTGTGGTCAGCTTGAGATTGTTTGAACCCATAATCCTTCATAGATCAACTTAATATGCCAAACCAAACTCTTGGTAATTGTTTCAGGCCATAAAGTGCCTTTTTTAACTTACACACTTTTCCTCCCTTTGGTGTAAACCCCAGAGGAGGATCCATGTATACTTCCTCTTGTATGTATCCATGTAAAAAGGCATTCTTTACATCGAACTACCGTAATGGCCAATCCAAGTTTGCTGCAAAGGACATGATGACTCGAATTGTGTTTATCTTGGCTATTGGAGCAAACGTTTCCGAGTAGTCCACACTCCATAAATTTGAGTATAACCTTTTGCCACAAGCCGATCTTTGTACCTCTCAATTGATCCATCTGGCTTATACTTGGCTGTAAACACCCATTTACAATGTCCAGTCCTCTTCTCATCAAGAAGATTTACCATATCCCATGTACTATTTTCTTGGAGAGCTTTCATTTCCTCTGCCATTGCTGATTTACACTTTGGATCTTCTAAAGCTTCTTAAAAAGAGTTAGAAAGAGATACAGAAGACAATTGAAGTGCGAAGGCTAGAAGAGTTTTAGAGAGGCGATGATAGGACACATAATCAGAAATAGGGTAAGTAACACAATTACTAGAGGAGAAACCAAAACGATATGGTTTATTCCTTACTCGGGATGGGTATCTCTGCTCTTGACCGTCACCAACTGGGTTCAAAGACAAAGACTCAGAATTGCTAAAATATGAGAACTATAAGAGAATATTTGTTTGTGAGAATTTTCTATGTATTATTCTTCTTGTATGAGGTCATATTTATAATATAACGGAACTTTAATGGGCAAGTAAATAATAAATTCATATTTCTATTTACAGTAGGAAATCATGAATTAAAGTAAATCAAATATAATTATAATGGGAATCCTTGGTATGCAAGGAAATAAAGTCAATGGTCCACAAGTCATGCCAATAGGAATTGTTAGGCTCAACATACAAAAGAAAAGGATTAGATGTTTGTACCTCAGATGGTGCTACTACAGACGCATTCTCACGGGATGCTGATTGGTATAGAGGAGTGGTATCAAGAGAGGGGTTAGCTGCAGAATCAGTTACGTCAAGTTCAGTAGAGACAGTATCAGCTGCAAATTTCTTTTTTTTCTGATAAGTTTTGTAGACCACAGGAGCCGGAATAGATGATTGCATATGAGATGGAGGTCCTTTTCATCTGTGGCATGTTCAACTTGAGAGGATATTTGCGCAGGCATGCACTCCATCCTTAACCAAAATGGCGTGGAGGAGATCCCGGCTCAAATACGTGCTTTCGCGATGGAGAAAGGATATTAAACGGAATTTTATTTTTTATCATAGCTGCAGTGGCGTTGACATCAATAACCCAGTTCACAGGTATGATCATTTGAATAAATGCATCATGCAAGTCGTGGAAGAAGGGAAGAAATCACAAGACCGATACAAGATTGCATTAGGGGCATCGGACGAGATACAAGCTTTGTCTTACAGAGGATCCTGCCCTGTAAGTGATAAATTATGTACAGAATGAATGGTGTAATACATAAAATTAAGGCACCAACTCGTTTTAGCTGGAAATTTATGTACAATAAATATAAATGCAATCAAAATGTATACATAGAATAAAAGCAATCTGTGCTAAGAATCTATCCTTGCAAATATTGACGGTTATATTTTTGCTTTCGTAGCAATTTAAGCAGGCATTTCCTTTCCATTTCATCATGTCATGACCAAAACTTCCACAACCAGCTTGTAAAGGGATGTGCATATTCACAAAGAAAATGAGTCATGGGTCTAAAATGTCATTGGCAGAATACAACAATAGCATGTAGAGCTACTCTAAAAATCAGAATCACTTTCTCAAGATATTTATCAAACTGACTATTTAACCCAAAGTTCTAAAGCTTAAGCATGCATGGCAAACCTACCTAAGTCCTTCAACCTGACCCTTGGTCCCGTACAGGAAGTCTGCAATGTAGACTGATTGACTTGTCCATTTGATGGGAACCAGGAATGAAAAATTGGAAGATCACCGTCCAGCAAGCACCGGTACCTTGCGGAGCAATCCCATAGAAAGCGTAATTTGGCTTACCCAATTGGCACTGAAGGCTCTTGCCAAAATGCTTCACACTCGCTTCCACAGATTGAGCATCTCCCCTCAAAATCGTCCTTGCTGACCGAGTCTGAGCACTGAGGTTTCGATCTTCAGATGGAGCATCAGCTCTTTCACCTAAGACCAACAGCGTCTGAAACTCAGCACCAAGTGTGATTAATGTTGTGGAAATCTGAATGTGTAAATCCCCATACTTGCTTATGGAAATATTAAGAAACTCAGTACATATGCTGACACTTCTACGAAGGGCACGGTGGAGAAGAGAAACGTCTACTGCAAAAGAAATGCAGTCCTCATTCTGGCTGGAGATGCGATAGTCATCGAAAAGAGCTTTTTTGCGAAACTGAGCAATAGACTGAACTCCATCACCATTGAAGAGGTTGTGGAGGAAGATAACATGGTCTCTATTGAGGTAGAGATGGCATATCTTTCCCATCTTGTCTAGTGCTGGTAGGAACCTCATTTCCAAAAGATTTACACCATTCTCCGTAAGAAATTCCTTGAACTTCTTCATCTCTCTATACTTGTCTGTTCTTGTCTCACTTCTCAGGCATAAAAGCTCTTGTTAATTCAATAAAGAACCATGATTGCTAACCAAATCCTACTGAACAAATTCAAACCCACCAAGAGTAGCCTTACAAATAGCACTCAAAACTCAAAAAATCTCAGACAGAGTGACACAAGCCAAAAAGATATAAATGAACAAGAAAGAAGAACATGAATGAATTCAATTTGAGGAAGCAAATATCAGTCAAACATGGGCTGCACAGGACCAATAGCATTTCGTTGTCCTCTGTCATGGCTAGTCCCCATATCTGTGTGTAGACGAATATTTTGACGTTATTCGTTAGTATACTGTAATAAAGCACTCACCATGAAAAGTCAAATGGTTAGTATAGACAAATATATTATTAAATTTACTATATTAAATTATACGTTCCACTTGATTTTCATTCACAGCTTGTCACTTTTAATACACTTTTCATAGAAAGATGTCTCTTGTCACTCCCCAGTTTATAAGAATTTTTTTATTTTGTATTTTCATTCAATGTGTGTAGTGCAGCTTAAGTCGTTAAGAGCATTCACTCATGCACCAAAGGTTATGTATTTGATGCCTCCTCTAATATCGCTTGTATACAAAAGAAATATAAACCGGTAATTAGTGTCTGAAAATTAGTAATAGATAGAGTAAGTGCTACCTATACATAAAGATATATAGAAATCGATATGTTATATAGCTGGTGCCTGAGCATTACTTTATATATAGACCAGCACTTACAATCAGGCTTCAGCCACTGCACTGCACTAATCAACCTTAAATTCCTTTAGTTGTACGGCACTATTGTCCTAAGATGCAGTGCATTACCAATTTACTTGCCCTGAACTCATCCGATTCAACTACGGTGCCTCTACAAGATCTGCTGCCTAAAGAAACTTTCTTTGAGAACTTGGATCTCTACCAGTGGGAAGGCTTCTGGTACAGACCAAAACACCTTGAAGCTGCAAAAGCCTTCCGCTCACAATTTGAAGCCAAAAATGATGACATTTTTTTGGCATCCGCCATGAAAACAGGTAGCACATGGCTGAAAGCTCTTTGTTTCAGCATCATGCAGAGGCAATGCAAAGTTGATGGCAAGGAGTGCGAGGACCTTCTGACAAAGAACCATCCCGCCCATTATGTCAAGACCTTAGAAGTCCAGCTATATACAGCAAATCCACCTCCTGATCTTTCAGGTATGCACTCTCCAAGACTCTTCCACACTCACTTGCCTTATAAGGCTATGCCTGAATGCATTAAATACCCAGAGTGCAAGATTGTGTACATAGCCCGAAACCCTAAAGACACCATTGTGTCAATGTGGCACTTTATGAACACTCTTAGAACGCCTGAACAAGGTCCTTATCCACTAGAGGATGCATTTGAAAGCTTTGTTAATGGGGTCTGCCATTTTGGGCCTTTCTTTGACCATGTTTTGGAGTATTGGAATCAGAGCTTAAAGATGCCTGAGAAAATACTGTTTTTAAAATATGAGGATATGAAAAAGGACCCGAAGAAGCAAGTAATGAGGCTGGCTTCGTTCCTGAGAAAGCCGTTTGACAACGAAAAGGAGGTTGAGGAGATGATTCGAAGATGCAGCTTGGAGAGGCTCAAGAACCTAGAAGTGAACAAGAATGGGATTGATCCTTGGGTTGGGATGCCAAACAGTTCTTTTTCAGGACTGGGATTGTTGGGGGCTGGAAAGACTTCTTGACAACAGAGATGTCTGAGCGCCTTGATCAAATTGCCCTCAGCAAGTTAGAGGGATCTAGTCTTAGCTTTGAATATGATGCTATATAGAGTTGGTTCACATAACCAAACTCTGTTTGTAATTGATATGCTTTCAGTGGACAATGTTTTCTGATCCACATAACTGCTTAATTATTTTCTTCTAGTTTTTGTTCACCTTATGATCCATGTACTTAATTATTTTCTTCGTTTCTCCCACACATTTTTGTTGCTAATCAAACATGATGTTAATTTATTTTCCTAAAAAAAAAAAGCATGTAACGATTTATCTTCCTAAGTGTGCATGGCTTAACCTCTCAAAGGTAATTAAAGACTAAACCGTTAGGATGTTAATGTTGAACAATCGAAGTTTAGCGGTTGCTTAACCTATATTAGAGCTTTGAGACATGAGTTTTGCGTTGAAAATCTCCTACATACATTCTCCACTATTAGTACACTTCCAAAGGTGCTCATTTGCTAGGGCAAAAGGAAGTTCAGGCTTGGAACAAGCCCCCGGCTATGGAAGGCAGCAAAAATGGGACCCAAGACCGCCCAAAGGCAATAATTGTCTGAGCTGGGGTTTGCTGATCTCATGCTCACGTTATCAACCTATTTAAATAAATAAAAAAGAAAAAAATACCAAAAAAATCAGAATCTTTTATTCTATAAATACCTAGTCATGTTCTTCACTTCCCACACCAAAACTTCATACAAATTCCTCTTCTCATGTCTCAAGTGAATAGTTCTTGCCTTTACTTGCCATGACAATAGGTGGAAAAGCAAAAAAAAAGAGAAAAAAAAAGGATAGGTCAGTCACTATTCACGTGAATAGTGTCATGTCCTTCCTTGACTTTTGCTATGATACCATGGTGAAAGTGATCTTATTTTTTTTAGTAGGATAGGGGTGCACTTATAGATATGTTTTCTTTATGGGAATATTTGTCTCTCATCTTGATAGCAAACAAGGTGGTCAGTTACGTTGTTTTAACTCCGTTTAGTGGGGAGCTATCTTCAAATTCAATTTTTGGCTTCTTTTACTTTCAAATCTGACAATGTATACTCATGTGATTCATACCCTTTCGGAAGCCGACTTGACATTGTTCCTTTTCCTTTCTCACTTTCTCTTCTTTAATAACTTACTGTTCCGTCGCTTTCTCTCCTCTTCTTTTTCCATCCCATTTTAATGACTTTTGGTTAAAGGTCCGCTAAAGAAACCAACCCAACATCAGAGGCATTTAGCCAAAAAGAAAGTACTAAATGAACCCATCACTTATCTTTAAAAAAAGAAAAAGAAAAGGACCAACTTCATAACAATCATGCCTCGTGCCAATGACTTTTTCTTTTTTCATAAAAAAAACTGAAGGAAGACTCTCATTCAGCCTAAAACCAAAATAAAATTTGCACCATAAAAGTAAAAACTCAAGATGCACGAACAAAGCAACGTTAAAACCTTATCTTAAAAAATTATAAATGAAAAAAATTCGATCAAGAAAAAAGAGTACCACAACATCTTGCAAAAATTTAAACAAACTCCCACTCTCCAAATTGAAATCTTTAATCACGTTGAAACCCCTAGAGCAATAAAGAAGCCATCCACCCAAAAGTACCAATCATGTCTGCCTCTCTAAGCAAGAATCCATCCACTACTCTTCCATAGTTGATGCCTGTCACGCACAATCAATATTCTAGATATAGATTATAAAAAAAAAGAAAAGAAGGGAAGCGTTTAAACTTGATCCTTTTTCTTTTTAGGTTGGAATTCAACTGTTGTAACTTCCATGTTTTTATCTTTTTCTTCTTTTCGGTTTAGATGCTCCTAGATCTCATCTTTAACTTCATCTATGAAACCATTTTATCCTTACATATTAGTGGCACATTGATTATTAGAGCATCTCCAACTGATATATTAAATTGTCAAATAAATATAAAATAACAAAAATTAAAGATTAAAGTTGCTCTAGATCTAACCGAGTAGTTAAATCATACATGTATTTGAAGGCTGGAAGAGATATGTCAAAAATAACATATCAAAAAACTTGATGTCAAATATTATTTTAATATTTTTTTTAGTCATGGACTCCACTATCATTTACTCTCTTTTAAATTTTTTGCATCATATGGGTCCTATTTGCTTTTAAAAATATAATAAATTAATATGAATATTTGGCATTTCGGATCGAGTTAATTTTTTTCCTAAGTGTCAAATTGCCACATAAGCCATCAAATTCAAATTTAACATTTAACATTTGATATCTCCCTTGGAGATGCTCTTAAGTAATTAAAAGCATGACTTGTTTCCATCTTTGCTTTTCTGTTATGTCTAGTCAAGACACTCATATGTTGTTCATGCAGTAAAAATGAGCTCATACTTACTACATTGGTGTTATTCCAACTAGGGAAGGAGAGCGCGGAAAGAAAGGCTAGGATTAGGATATAAACCCAAAAAGGACCAGATTAATCTAAATGTAAAGGTTTTACTTGGAGGTTTATATATGAGTCTTAGTGTCATTGGTTTTTTTATTACTTTTATTTTTGTTTTGGAGGGGAGCGACTAGTTTCTTAATTTTCAGTTATTTGAGTATTTTCATGGGAGTTTCACTAAAACACCCAAAATGGGGGCTGAAATTATAAAAAAAACCCAACACCCAAAACACTTTATAAACACACCCAAAACTCATCATTACACACACTTAAAACCCATTTATAAACACACCCAAAAAATATACAATTATTTATTTTGGGGTTGATTTTGGGTGTGTTTCTATGTTTAAATAGTGCTTTGGTTTTTTTATAAATACATGTCTATGATTGGGTTTATTTATAAATTTGTATATTTTCATTTGGGTTTCCTCTATGGTCCATTCTGAGGGAAGAAAACTTGCATGCACGGGGAACATTTCATTCTTTCTTTATCTCTTACTTTATGTGATAGGTGACATGAGAAGAGGAGGTGTAGGGAATAGTGGCGAACGTAGGATTGTGAGGTGTAAAAGTGTCGAATTTTTTTTTAGAAGAAAATAATACTAAAAAACATAAAGATAGTACTTCTATTCATAATTCATGGCAAAACTAACAATACAAGCTACAATTGTGCACGATGAGTTTTCATATTTTGAAAACGTTGCATTATAGCTTCGTTATCAATACAAGCAAAAACATCTCTCTTAATGTAAACAACTAAGCTATCGTTCAACCATTGATCTCTCATTCTGTTGCGAAGTGGATTTTTGATAATATTCATTGCTGAA